CAGCGTTTTTTCTCTCCTTCCTCCCACCTCCTCCCTCCTTCCTCCCTCCTCCTCCTCCTCCTCCTCCTTCCCTCCTCCTCCTTCCTCCCTCCTTCCTCCCTCCCTCCCTCCCTCCCCTCCTCCTACCTCTCCCTCCTTCCTTTCCTCCCTCCCTCCTTCCCTCCCTACCTCTCCCTCCTTCCCTCCCTCCCTCCCTACCTCTCCCTCCTTCCCTACCTCTCCCTCCTTCCCTCCCTATACCTCCCTCCGTCACTTTCACACCGCCGTTACCGCAGTTTGACATTTCACAGCGTTAATGGTGTACGCTGACCTCAAATTACGTCACAGTAGTAAATTGAGTCCAGTCACTGTACGCAGAGGAACGATGGTATACAGTATATTCACTATATTCTGTTATACTTGTATTTAGAATAATTTTATACGCATACTATCATATCATGAGTGTATGTGTACCGGTGTATGTATACAATGAGTGTATGTATACTGATATGTATATACTGTCAGTGTATGTATACCAGTTACACTATTGTTTGTGAAGGGACATATGATTAATATAGATAAACTTAATTAAGATCATATATATATATTGAATACCAGTCGAGTTAATGATATCACCTGAAGATTAGACACCCCGGTATATTTTACCTGATAACTAAACACACACACACACACACACACACACACCATCAACCACACCAAAACCGTAGTCATGCACATCAATACCGCCACCACTCCAGTGCAAGCCCCAGCAGTCACAGTGGGTGCCCATCCTCTCCAGCTGGTGCAGTCTGCCAAACTCCTGGGTGTAACTATAGACAATAAACTTGACTGGAAGGCCCATGTAAATAACACAGTCAAGGCAGCCTCGTACCGTCTCTACATGCTACGAAGACTTAGGTCACTTGGGACACCCACGCCAAAGCTGAGGACCATCTACAACGCCTTTATTCACCCCAAACTAACGTATGCGTCACCAGCCTGGTCGTCTTCTCTCAACTCTACCCAACAACGTCAGCTAGAGAAGGTACAGAAAAGGGCCTGCAGAATCATGCTCGGCGCAGAATATTCCGGCTACACCAACGCTCTCTCCACCCTGGAAATGGCATCCCTCAGTGACCTCCACCACCAAGCACTGAAAAGGTTTGGCAGTGGACTACTGCACCACCCTCGCCATCGCTACCTCCTGCCACCTGCAGCCCCCCACCCACCTTGCGCAGTCCGCCACTACAACAAAATTCAGCCCATAAGAGCCCGCACCGATAGATATAAGAACAGCACCATCCCATCTATTGTTAAAATAATAAACAACTCCTGATTTATGTACTGTACAGCCCTGTAAATGTATTCAATGCATATTATATCATTAAGTCTAAATCAAATGTAAGTCTGTATATTTTCATCCACCGGCTGCAACTCTATTAATAAACCGTTTATTATTATTATTATTATTATTATTATTATTATTATTATTATTATTATTATTATCACACACACACACAGATGTGAGGAACGCGGAAGGTAATACAAACATATCATTGTCCCGTGACCACAACACTCACTACAACACGATAATACTGTTCTGACACATCAGCTCCTTATAACCAACCTTCCCGGGTGTGTGGCAGGGTAATTGGTTGTGATGGGAGAGGGAGGAGGTTGTGGTGGGAGGGGGAGGGGGAGGGGGGAGGTGGTGGTGGGTGAGGGGTTGGGGGATGAAGCACTGGGTGAGGGAAGAAAGTGGTGGTGGGTGATGGATGAGAGGCTGTCTATCTTTGTCTGTCTTGCTTCTCTGTCTGTTTGTCTGTCTTTCGTTTTTATTTCTTTAATTGAATATTCTTTTGCTATTGTTTCTGCTGTTCTCTCTCTCTCTCTCTCTCTCTCTCTCTCTCTCTCTCTCTCTCTCTCTCTCTCTCTCTCTCTCTCTCTCTCTCTCTCTCTCTCTCTCTCTCACCAAGACTGAACAAATTACTGTCAACACCTATCTATCTAACCTTCCTCCCTCCCGCTGGTGGCTATTACGTCTCTGTTCACCTGTTCACTGACTCCAAGGTGAACATTCTTTACGGATTGTTGTTCTTTATTCTCTATACTCTCAACTGATTGTTCCTACGAGCTGTTTCTAGTTATTTCTTTGTGTTCTCTGTAGGTTATTTGTTTCCATCGGGGACCTTGTGTTTAGTGAAATAATGTGGAGGTAAGAAATAAAGGAATGATGAACGGCAGGACATCGCTATATCATTTTTTTTCTTTACTTTACTTAAATATTTGTTATTCTTGTTTTATTTGTTAGGAGATTTACGTTTACAAGTTTTCCTTACATAATACATGAATATATTTAAAACACAATTATTCTGAATCTAGAGTATTGAATAAAGCAAGTTAAAAAAAAATAGCTAAAATTAATAATAAAAAATGAGAGTTCGGTGTAGAAAAACAAAACTGTAAATTTAGTAAAGTTACCCATAAACTTTAACTATTAACATTTTCTTTGATTGTAGGTCTGTACGTTTTCTTTGATTCACACAACAATAACAACTAATAATAACAATAAAACAATCTTCGAGAAAGTTTATTACGGCATTTTCATCTCTATAAACCTGAAAATATAGCTAAGATTAGATAAAGCAGCAACAGCGCACAGATAAACCATAAATAACACACCTACGAGTACAACTAATCACTGACCATCACCTCGAAAGACAATGGCACCGAAACATAACCTTATAGACCTGCCGCTCGTGCTTGACTCTTCCTTCTCACTGTTTATTCACATTTTAATCAATCTCACCTTTCTATTTACTCACTGTATCTGGGGGTCTGGTGGCTATTGTGTTTCCGGCAACGATACAGTGAAAGTAAATCTGAGTAAATACGTGAGGTTATTTGAGGTTATTGATGATTGTGATGAAATTAGTATTTGTTGGTTGGTGTTCAAGATAGATGGATAGAAACGCCATACAAATTCACGTTGGTTCAGCATACACACACACACACACACACACATATATATATATATATATATATATATATATATATATATATATATATATATATATATATATATATATATATATATATATATATATATATATATATATATATATATATATATATATATATATTTCAGGTCTATAAACAATGCACACAATTAATGCATGTATTCAAACAATGTACAGTTCCGTTCAGAAGTTCGTGGTACACTGGCGGTGAAAGAGAGATAGGAGCGCTTGAACTTGCCTAGCTTATACTACAGACGGGCAAGGGGCGACCTAATTGAGGTGTACTGTATAAGCATCTCAAGGGGCACTACTCAGTCGAGTGTCCTTACTTGGAGCTGGCGGACGCTCGCCCCACAAGGGGTCACAGCTCAAGATTGAAGAAGCCGCAGGTCCAGAAAACCGTGAGGACAAACTTTTTCGGAGTGAGAGTTGTGAACTCTTGGAACAATCTACCAGAGAGTGTTGTGACGGCACCGAGTGTGAGCTCTTTCAAGACCAAACTTGACCAACACTGGAGCAGGTTCAGGTACATTCAGGAGCCGGTGCATGCCCAGTACTTGCCAACAGTGCGTAACAGAGACGTGACCGATTGCCCAAGCGGCTAACGAGCCAATCAGTGGTGAAGCGGATAAAAGTAAAAGTAAAAAGAGGGGTGCATAGCCTGTTGTACCCTTCCTGGACGACAGGTCACTACACCTAGCCTCCTACCAACACACACGGTGGAGCTGGCAACGGAGCAGCGAGTCGAACGAATACTCATTAAAAGGAGATGGGAAGGATATTGATATGAATATCCTGCCGACGAGAGAAGAAAACTGTAGTGATAGGAGTATCCATTCGAATATCAAAATACAATAGGGAAATTGGTTTCTAATGAACACCATAAGAAGTAGGTGAACAGAGCTCATATATCAAGAGTCTTCAATGTATTCATTACTTGAAGTTTTTTATATAATACTCTAGCTATATGTACAGTATATATGTGTGTGTGTGTGTGTGTGTGTGTGTGTGTGTTTGTGTGTGTGTTACGCTAAATAGTGATAATTGCCGATTAAGTGTTAAATAACGTTACTTCATAGTGTCACTTACCCCAGGTTACCTCCGCCTGGGTCAACGCCATCTGGGGGTCGGCAAATTAACAACACTACCTTGTCTCTACCACAACACTCTAGCCTCTCCCGTGAACCACCAAGGTGACTATGGTCCTGTATCTCGCCCTGAAAGGCAGTTCACTCTCATCCTCTGTCCTGAAACAGTGACTCGCCCTAAGGACCTCTACCTTCCCCGGGTTCCTGCGCTTCAAGTGACCGCCTTAATCATCCCACGTACCATAACATTCATCCCAGAGAGAAGAAGATGGCTTAACTTTTTCTCTGGTTCCTCTCTGCTCTTGTCTCCCATGTTTAGTCTGTATATAGATGATATTTATATGTTGAGCTCGGGCACTGGTGTTGGGTTAGTGGTTAGGATTTGTCTTTATAATTAGTTATTATTGTTATTAAATATTAAAAACTCCTCCTTTGTATAATGTCCATCAGCAGTAACGTTGGCCGATATTCACATTAATATCCTTCCCATCTCTTTTTTGATGAGTACTGTATTTGTTCGACTCGCTGCTCCGTTGCCAGCTCCACTGTGTGTGTTGGTGGGAGGGTCGGCGTAGTGACCTGTCGTCCAGGAAGGGTACAACAGACTATGCACTCTTCACGGCCACTGTACCACAAACTTCTGGACGGAACTGTGCATAGACAGTGCAAGTATACAAACAATATACATAGAAACAGGTGTACAAACAATATACATAGACACAGGTGTACAAACAATATACACCAATTATGTAAACAATGGCATAAGGTCGTTGAATTATTACTTTCCATTCACATCTTATTAACTTATAAATATTGCTGTTGTTTTTATTTCCGCGTTTCGATGCATCAGTGGTCAATAACAAAAATTCAAACCACAATAAAAACATGAGTTAAGGTATGTTAAAACATATAGGATTTAATTCAGTTTTATTTCCAAAGTTACAAAAATTATAAACACTATGATTATTTTGGGCATTAAACAATAAGTATTTTGGGAAACTTACAATGTATATTTATGTTATTCATTATATATTTTTCATTAACAAATTATATAAATTCTTTGTTATAATACACATTTGATTGTTGAATATATATGAATACATTAATATGTTTAATTTCCCAATAAATCTTCAGTATACATTATTGTGTATTAAGTGTGAGATAAAGGGATGGGTACAATTTGGTAATTCTTTCGTTTTGTCTTTCAGCCAGTTGAGGTCACTGTCCCTCCCTGTGTGTGTGCGTCTTCAGTGACCATAAGAAGGCTTGGGACAGACGGTCTTGTAGGTCTGCTGGGTTTGGGTGACCGTCACGTACTGAGGGACCACTTGGGTCTTGTACTGCGTCTGGTACTGTACTTGGGTCGTGGTAACGTACTTGGGCGTGTACTGGGTCGTGTACACGGTCTGGTACTGGGTCTGGGTCACGTATTGGGTCTGGTATTTGGTCTCGGTGATGTATTTAGGGACATACTGGGTTTTGGTGACGTACTGGGTTTGGTATTGGGTCTGGTATTGGGTTTGGACCTGGGTCACATACTTGACTTGGGTCTTATAAGCGGTCTCAGTGACATATTTCGGCACGTATTCTGTCTGGTACTTGGTCTGGTACTGAGTTTGGTACTGGGTTTTGTAGAGGGTGGTGGGGACGATCTGCTGTTTGTAGAGAGTCGTATACACCGGCACCTGTAGTGAGAGAAACAAATAATCAAGAATTCTGGTGGGTTTTTTTAACAGAGAATCCGTAAGAATCCGTGAATCCATCTAAGGCTCTCAAGAACATATCTGCCCCCTATCCCCTTATACCTACCGGCTCGTACTGTGTTGTGTAGTGAGTGATGTACTTCGTCTTCGGGTGACAGGGGCGGGACTTAGGGTAGTGAGGTTCAGCTATCACCGCCGCCACCACCACAGCCAACACCACCACCACCACACGAATACACATAGCCATCATATCTGTCAAGAGAGAGAGAGAGAGAGAGAGAGTAAACATGGTGTTATAATCTTACATACATGATCCCTTTTTGTTTACGATATATGTGTTGTTTGGGTTTAGCTGCTTCATGTGCCAGCCAATGTTTACACAGCTTTCAAGTAACCACATCCAACCCTCTGTTTACAATTTGTGTTTATTATTGTTGTTTTTTAACTTTGTCTGTTCCTGTGCTGAATAAATAAAGAAACTAATGAATAATAACAGATGAATGAAACTTAATAAAATGGTGAAATAAAACTGACAATTAGGAAAATGGACAATGTAGAATCTTGTTTGTAAGTTCAGCTTTTTGAAAGTTCTCCAAAATCTTAGTGCTTCTCTTCTAAACTTTCCTCTCGTCTCCTTTCTATCCTAGATGAGTTGAAAAATGAAAAATAGACCCATATCTCTAACCAGTTGAAAGTTGAAGAGTCCACCAACCCTCTACCACAATGAAAGAGTCCACCAACCCTCTACCACAATGAAAGAGTCCAAGGAGTTTAATATTTCAACCGAATTAACCTCATCATCTATATTTCTTCCCCCCAAAACGACGAAAAACAAAGAACAATTCTCCATCAGTCAGTCAGTCAGTAAGTCAGTTCTTTACCTACCTCAGGAGGGGGGATGTTCTCGCTGGGCAGCTGAGCACAAGACTGACGATGGAAGGCAAGTTGGCACTCATTTATAGGGCCGAGTTTCTATCGTCTCCATTTGTTTACTAATTAGGGCTGCCACGCTCCATGGGTCTTCGTGGGCATCTTGGCGTGACTAGACGGATGACGTGTTCCAGGTATATTAAGTTTGTGCAAGACGTGTGTGTGTGTGTGGGGGGGGGTGTAATAATGCTAATACTAATAATTAACACTTTATTAACAGATACAACAGCCATAAACTGAAAGTATAAGGAATGACGTAAGTGGTACATATATAATACATAATGATAGAGAGAGAGAGAGAGAGAGAGGGTCATTTAATAAGGAATTTCAGCACAGTTATAATATTATAAAAGTGAGATTGACAAGGTGTGTGTGTGTGTGTGTGTGTGTGTGTGTGTGTGTGTGTGTGTGTGTGTGTGTGTGTGTGTAATAATATGTAATTAACAGTTTATTGAAAAGTTCTGCAGCGAAGGCTGAAATATACAGTGGACATAAATGACTTATACATACATTGTGGTTTAACAAAAGCTTCATTAGAAAGGTAAGAACATACAGATTACTGTAGGTGTGAACAAACTGTAGTGTAGTACTCCTCCCAGATAGTGTTATGAGGGACCTCACGTGGTGTGAATTCCATCACAGATGGTGTTAGGGGACCTGACGTGGTGTAGTGACCCTCAGAGTGGTGTCTGGGGACCTCACGTGGTGTCGTAGCTCCTTCACATGTGGTGTTATAGGGACCTCGTGGTGTGTATTCCTCCGATGGTGTCATAGGGTCTCCACGTGGTGTCGTAACTCCTCACACATGGTGTTATGGGACCTCAGGTTATAGTAATTCCTCACATGGTGTTATGGGGGACCTCACGTGGTGTAGTAATTCCCTCACAGATGGTGTTGGAGGACCTCGTAGTGTAGTAACTCCCTCCCAGATGGTGTTAGGAGGGACCTCACGTAGTGTAGTAACTCCCTCCCAGATAGTGTTAGGAGGGACCTCACGTGGTGTAGTAATTCCATCACAGATGGTGTTATGAGGGGCATCACGTGGTGTAGTGATTCCATCACAGATGGTGTTATGAGGTACCTCACGTGGTGTAGTAATTCCCTCACAGATGGTGTCATAAGGGACCTCACGTGGTGTAGTAATTCCCTCACAGATGGTGTTATGAGATGGTGTTATGAGTGGGGTGTATCCCAGGCCTTCTATTGTAGACGCATTAACATATCGCTGGTTGTTGCTGGGTCTCACGTGCAGTTATCACTAGGTACCTGGGACCTCACTTTGTGAAGGTTAACTTGGGTACGACTCACCTGGTAAATAAGCTGAGTTGTTCTCACTGTTCTCACAGTTCACCGCTGTTCACCTCTGTTTAACACTGGTTCCATTCCTTTCCTAAATGAAATTGTAACTCTGGCTGTGAATTTGCTGATATTCCGGTGGGAGAGTAGGAGTTGGTATGGCCAACATAACAGTTGACCTGGCTGCTGCCAGAGAGCGCCAGGTACGTCTTGGACCCTTGGTGGTCATGATGTGTGTGTGTGTGTGTGTGTGTGTGTGTGTGTGTGTGTGTGTGTGTGACAAACTCGTACATCCCAAATCCAGAAATTAGTAAGGTTAACCTCCACCCCTCCATACCTCGTCCTCCACACCTCCAGCCCTCCACACCTCGTCCTCCACACCTCCACACATCAAGGTGGAAAACTCCATACTGTATTATCACGTCCCATAACTATCCATTTACTTCAGTCATCCTCGAAATGCCACCAAGAAAATGGGCAAAGTGATACCCCCTTCTAGGTACCCTTAAATGATACCCCCTTCTAGGTACCCTTAAATGATACCCCTTCTAGGTACCCTTAAATGATACCCTCCTCTAGGTACCCTTTAATGATACCACCTTCCAGGTACCCTTAAATGATACCCCCCTTCTAGGTACCCTTAAATGATACCCCCTTCTAGGTACCCTTAAATGATACCCCCTTCTAGGTACCCTTAAATGATATCCATATTTAGGTACCCTTAAACGATACCCCTTAGGTACCCTTAAACGATAGCCCTTTTTTTCCAGAGTCCCCTTTAAACTCTCTCTCTCTCTCTCTCTCTCTCTCTACCCGGACACAGCCCTGCCGTTTAGAATGGATTAAATACATCATATGTTTCGGTTCAGTCAAGTGCGACTTTCACATCGGCCATTCACTTAACAAAAGATTTTCTCCGCTAGCATAAACATCACTTGACTGCTGCACCGTTACCACTCTGTTGAATTAGACCCTGTCGCTGCTCCCGTTGTTAGAATCTGGTGTTTCCGTTATTAGAATCTGGTGTTTCTGTTATTAGAATCTGGTGTTTCCGTTATTAGAATCTGGTGTTTCCGTTATTAGAATCTGGTGTTTCCGTTTTTAGAATCTGGTGTTTCCGTTATTAGAATCTGGTGTTTCCGTTTTTAGAATCTGGTGTTTCCGTTATTAGAATCTGGTGTTTCCGTTATTAGAATCTGGTGTTTCTGTTACTAGAGTCTGGTGTTTCCGTTATTAGAATCTGGTGTTTCCATTATTAGAATCTGTTATTGCTTACGTTGCTAGAATCTGTTATTGCTTACGTTGCTAGAATCTGTTATTGCTTCCGTTACTAGTATGTTACTGTTGTTACATTAAGATTCTCTGTTTGTGTTACTAGACCCTATCATTAGTTGCGTTATTAAGCTGTTACACGATGGCCTTCTAGCACTGGGCCCCTTTAACTATAGAGCCCATTAAGACGGGCCCTCAATCCTAATGGTTATGCTCGGTTAGGTTTGGGTCCTATTAAGACTGGAGGTCCATTACGACTGGGGGCCCATTAAGACTGAGGGTTCATTACGACTGGGGGCCCATTAAGACTGGAGGTCCATTACGACTGGGGGCCTATTAAGACTGGGGGTCCATTAAGACTGGGGGTACATTAAGACTGGGACATATTAAGACTGGGGTCCATTACGACTAATACATTCATTATCAACTCTTAATTAAGGTAAATAATAATAATAATAATAATAATAATAATAATAATAATAATAATAATAATAATAATAATAATAATAATAATAATAATAACTATTCAGTCATTCTTTCATCCAATAGGTCAGTCAGTCAGCCAGTCACTCATCCAATCATCCACCCATTCATTCATTCAGTCACTCATTCATTCACTCACTCATTCATTCATTCATCCATTCATACAGTCCACCTCAGCTGTAAACAAACACACGTACAGTACAACAGATATAGGAATTAGCAACTTACTCGCCTCCTGTCACCCAAACTGTGCATCAATATATACGTCAAAATAGTTTACAAATGTCTGTCTTCACGGTGTGTGTGTGTGTGTGTGTGTACTGTTGTTAATATCGGTGAGAGAATCTGACAAAACAGGTGATGTATGATTATAATGTTTGTAATTGTGTTCTGATCTGTCTGTCTGTCTGTCTGTCTGTCTGTCTACGTCCGTCCGTCCGTCCGTCCGCCAGTCTGTGATACACTACGCAATAATTCCTTTTTAATATCAATGGAAATTTTAACTCGACTTTCGGTGTAAACTCGTCACATCAAGACCTCACAAGCATTATTTTTTACAAAGTTATGGCCTTGTGGTCTTAGTTATGACGAGGTGGGGGATAATCAGTATTTTTTCATCTATTTTTTTTTTCATTATTACAGAGTTATGGCCAAAGAGAAGAGAAAATAACTTAAAATTAAGTTTGAAATCACTATAAAGTCCATCTAAGTAACCAGACGCCATTATAACTCCATTAAACCCCGTGTTATTAGACTTTCCCGCCATTAAAATCCTAAACGAACAGTAAAAACAGGTAATGTCGAGTCCCGTAGCCATTGTCGACCAGTTAGACGTAGCGTGGATATAGTACACTGCACAGTAACCCTCAGCACACAGGGAGGTAGCGTGACTGGCACCGCACCTGACCTCCTTCACTTCCTCAATTGTAAACCCAGGAAGCTTAAACACACACTTAAGCATGGAGTGTAAGAATATTTATATGTATATAGTAATTTATTCATGTTTATTCACCATGCAAATACATCGGTGTACAGTAAATTTATTCGACGATAATTACACTGGTTGGAATGATGAGTAGGTTAAGAATACAAAAAAAACTCTATAATATAAAGAAATTCCTGAATATACATTAAAAATTCTAATCTTCCTCACACTATAATTCTCAACGATACTTCAATGCCAAATACTACCAAGTGTTGAGGGAATTATGTTAAGTGTACAATAAAGTGACCAATGAACATGAGGTAGGGATTAAGTGGACATTTATGGGTACAGCAAATAGTAAACAAAACACATACTAGTGACAACAACCAGAAATAATGGATTAGTTAACAAAAACATATAAGTGGTTTGTAAAATTTATAGATCCTCAAATAGTCGTGTTTTTTCTCTAGTCTAAAGAAAGACGTAGTAGTAGTAGTAGCAGTAATAGTAGTAGTAGTAGTAGTAGCAGTTTTACCTATAATTCCACAGCTACTCTAAATCTCCCTTAATTAAAAACTAAAAAAAAAAAATACCCATAAATATTTGAGACCCTCTGAAGGGCGGGAGGAACCAATTAAATCAACATCCCCAGCATCGCCTTCGTCAGTATCACCACTTACCAACCATTTGCAGGACACATGGTCTTTGTACTCTCATACTTCTCAGTGACGGTGACAGTAAGATGGTGGCGGGTCGGTTCTCCTCTCCCATAGTAACCATTACACACAGTCTCCCTATAGTGAGTTTCGGTTATAGTGGACTCCTGCAGGTGGGTGACGTGTGACGGTTCGTACTGGGTCTTGGTGTACTTGAAGTGGGTTTCGTGCTCCGTTATGGTGTGTTTGTAGTGAGTGATGTGCTCTGTCGTCGTCTCTAGGAAGGTTTTGGTGATGTACTGTGGGATGAATTTAGTCGAGGTGATCACTTCTTGTAGCTGGTGCACTGTCGTGGTGAACTGGGTGAAAGGAGGCGGGAAGGAGGATGTGAGTGTTATTTCTATTATAAAGATACTAATTATTATTAATGATGATGAAACAATATTATTACTTCTATTATTTATAATATTTGTGCTATTATTACTATTATTATTATTACTACTATTATTATTATTACTAATACTAGTAATAGCAGCAGTAGTAATAGTAGTAGTAGTAGTAAAAACAATAGTTGCCATAATTCCTCTTATTCTACTCACTAAACATAAACAACATAGTAACTAACATGCTTTAACTCACACCATTGATGGGCCTCGGGTAGAGTGTACTGTGACTCCTGTAACGAGCGAGGGAGACCGGTCTGTGTGCCTCTCCTGCCACCACCGTCACCAGCAGCGCAGCCGTCACAGCCACACTTGACCACACCATCATCTGTGACGTAAGAAATGTGACGGCGTTGGTGATGTGACGGTAATTTTGAATGTCTGGTATCACGTCACAAGAGAGAGGGAGATAAGGGAGAGACTCTTATCACGTCACAGGAGAGAGGGAGATAAGGGAGAGACTCTTATCACGTCACAAGAGAGAGGGAGATAAGGGAGAGACTCTTATCACGTCACAGGAGAGAGGGAGATAAGGGAGAGACTCTTATCACGTCACAAGAAGAGGGAGATAAGGGAGAGACTTATCACATCACAAGAGAGAGAGGGAGACTCTATCACAGGAGAGAGGAGATAAGGGAGAGACTCTTATCACGTCACAGAGAGAGGGAGATAAGGGAGAGACTCTTATCACGTCACAAGAGAGAGGGAGATAAGGGAGACTCTTATCACGTCACAAGAGAGGGAGATAAGGAGAGACTCTTATCACGTAGAGAGGGAGATAAGGGAGAGACTCTTATCACGTCACAAGAGAGAGGGAGATAAGGAGAGACTCTTATCACGTCACAAGAGAGAGGGAGGGAGAGACTCTTATCACGGGAGAGAGGGAGATAGGGAGAGACTCTTATCACGTCACAGGAGAGAGGGAGATAAGGAGAGACTCTTATCACGTCACAGGAGAGAGGGAGATAAGGAGAGATTCTTATCACGTCACAGGAGAGAGGGAGATAAGGGAGAGACTCTTATCACGTCACAGGAGAGAGGGAGATAAGGGAGAGACTCTTATCACGTCACAAGAGAGAGGGAGATAAGGGAGAGACTCTTATCACGTCACAAGAGAGAGGGATATAAGGGAGAGACTCTTATCACGTCACAGGAGAGAGGGAGATAAGGGAGAGACTCTTATCACGTCACAGGAGAGAGGGAGATAAGGGAGAGACTCTTATCACGTCACAGGAGAGAGGGAGATAAGGGAGAGATTCTTATCACGTCACAAGAGAGAGGGAGATAAGGGAGAGACTCTTATCACGTCACAGGAGAGAGGGAGATAAGGGAGAGACTTTGCTTACCTTCAGAGATGTGTCCTGGGAGATCTTTAGTATAGGAACTGAGAGACGGTAGTGGTGGTCAGGACTATTTATATAACATTGTTCCTCACTGTGACGATAGCTACCCCCCTCCCTCCACCCCCTCACCCTTCCACCACTTCCCTGCTCCTCCCCACACCTCTTCGTGACATCCCCCTCCCTGCTTCGACCCCCGCCTCCACCACCTCCCTGTGTGTGTGTGTTACGCCCCGTTTGTAATATTTTCTAGTTCGTGAAATGGGCTCCTAACCTAACCTAAGCCTAGTTCTTGAAATAGATTTAGGTTATGTTAGGCACCAATTTCACAAAAGGCGTAACAAACTCTGTGTATATGTGTATGTTTACTTGTATATTTATATCTTATGAATGAATTTGTGTAATATATTCATTGGTTTGAGAATGGTTGTGCGGAGAGAGAGAGAGAGAGAGAGAGAGAGAGAGAGAGAGAGAGAGGTTACTGACACATGTTAGTCAAGCCTCAGTCGTCTTCTGAACACATTACACATCACTATAGGTAAACTTTGTCGTCGCCCAACCCTCAAGCGCCAAACAGAAGAGTCATGTCCATAACATTTTCAGTGAGGAATATCATAATTTCTAATTTATTCTCAACCCCTTACGACAGTCAGTTTTAATTTCACTCCCCCTCTGTTGTAATTTATGCTCCTTTGTTCACGACTTGGGCTGTAGGAAGGAGAATCCAGTATTATCCTAGAGTGTTTACAGTGTTTTGAATCCCATTTTCTGAACCGAGCTTTTCGTTTATACTCTGACAATGGCGTCTTTTTTTTCCTTTAATGAAACGCTAAAGCTGTAAACCAGAAACCACTGTGCATGCCCGTAAAATATAAATATGATTGATTTTCTGACACACAGCTTAATTACAAAAAGAAATGAAATCATAATATTCCGCTATTATTAAGTATTTAGTAAAGCGACCAGGTTACTGTGACAGGTCAAACACGTAAGCAGTACACAGTGACCTAGCGAGATGATCTACTTTTAAACATATCAACGTGTTACTTGAATCACCACTGTTGATACTGACGTGTTATGACCTACTTCACTGTATGTGTGACCTTATTTTATGGCGATAACAGGTTCAGTGTCAAATTAACCAGATCTCTTAATTATTTTGTTAGTTGTGACATTTCCAGCCAAGCCAGAAGCAGCTTAGATGCGCTGTGTCTCACTACTACTACTACTACTACTACTACTACTACTACTACTACTACTACTACTACTACTACTACTACTGATGCTATGTGTCTCAGCATCAAATCATACACCAGAGGCCACGATACAAAGTCGAGTTATTTAGACTTTGCCCCGACACACCAGGTTCCCGTAATATATGGCTTCCGTCACCATAAGCTCGAAATATATACCGTACACTAAATGATTTCATAAAATATGTTCATAAGAAACTACCTGAGCACGGCAGTAAGGTATCCAAAGTGTGAAGTGATATAAGGATGATACTTAAGCAAGATTTCCGAGCATGAAATTTTCTAGTTGGAGAAAAGTATTTCTTTAGTTTCCCTTATTAGGTTCAGCCATTCACGTTTTCTTATATTTTACAGAAAACGATTATAATCAGCCACCAGAGAAATAATGACTGAATAACTTAATAATAAAAATAATTGTTAATATTTTATTAGTATTATTCAATACAAATATCATACAGGTTTACAATTGGTTTGACATGTACAGTATATAGACTATAAAAGCATGCAGTTCAGCACGAGTATAGACAGCGCAGGTATACGGTGTACAATAAGACAAAAATCGTGTCGTGAAATTTCGTGAAAACTATGTCGAAGGGCTAAAACTTTTGGTGCGCTCTGCCTTATATATTTAATCTTCGGACAAAACCGCGACACGAGTTTTGTCTTTGATTACATAGACCGTGGATGTATGCAGTTTCCAGTGGTACCTAGGCAGTGCAGGTATACAACAAGAGTATATATTAAGACACTTTAACAAAGGATTGCCGACAAAGCCATCAGATGCTTATTTACAGTGTTTTGTGTATTATAGTCCGCTAATGGAATGTATAACCAGGCTATTCTTCTCGTTCTTGAACCCTGACTCGGTACTTACTAAACCTAATCTAATCTAATCTTACACCCCATAACCTATCCAATTTAAACTAATTATTCCAAGCAAAGTTTACTCTAACTTATCCTAATGTAATATAATTTAATATATTATTTAATATCGTTTCATAAAATTATATCCTAATTCACTTCTAACATAACCTAACAAAAAATCTGCCTTCTCTCGCAGTGATGACAAAACGTGAGAACGATTATTGATGTCATCGACGGTGAGTTCTAAGCGTTGGATTTCAGATTTACAACGCCTCTACAGGCCGATTCGGGACCACAGTGTCATGATCGTGATAACGGATAACCTGAAAACCTTAAGGATTCATATTACGCTCAAACGTCCACAAAACCTTCTGAGTCCCCCAGTGGAAACGTCCCCCATTTTCTCTGTTTCCCCGTCTTTGTTTAGAGGGAACTTTGAATATAATCCACGGATTTCGTAGCAGACGCTGTATGTTGGGACCTGTTGCCATCCAACCCTTGGTAATCAATTTAATTTTGCTTTTGATAGCTGAGTCAGAGCATTGTTAGTGAAGATAATAGTAGGGAATGAAACTGAATTCATAGTCTCAGTTTCAACGTCAGAGTGTACAGTAAATTAATTCATCGGAATAGAAGTAGGTAGACTCCCTGGCCTATTTTGAGTGAGGGCCCCGCGGGCATTTCTACCGTTAGTGAGTGCCTGTCCCTTCATCCATACATGTATGCCATTCCACTCTGTGTTGTAATTCGCCCTTCTTTAAGTGATTTGACCCAATTAATAGTTGATTGTGCAAGTGTTACAGTAACGTAGTTGATATGCTCTGAGTGAATTCATATTTACGTCTTTAACGTCCCCTGAAACGTGATGTTGTTGTCACAGTTAGTGAGTGCCCGTCCCTTCATCCATACAGGTCCTTAACGCAGCCTAGGCCGTGTCTGTAGCATGGAGGTTGTATCCACTATGTCTGGGGAGATGTCCGAGGTCCAGTAGGATCAGTTACCTTCGTGAGACCCGGCCGTCAGACACTTCAGACTACCTATGGCCCCCATAGCTGGCTCGTCTGGCCCTAACGCTCGGCTGCGAGGTGACCCCGGATCACCAAGCCACACACCACTACCAGCCCCCATCATTGGTGGATGAGTGTCTAACTCCGTAGGGCTATTTGTGTAGTGAGATTAATCCACTGGGATCTCCAGAGTTCGTCGGAAAGTACTCCATGGTGGCTGGACCCCATGGCTGTTGCTTGAGTATCACTCCTGACGACTGAAGGTGGTAGTGGCCCTCATAACAGGGTCGTTGTCCCTAGCATCTATCTGCCTCGGTGTGGAGTCAGTCAACCTTAAAGTTTTATCACCGTCTAATGTGGTCTAGCAGTTGCAAGTGTTGACTTGACACTTTTTTAGGTTAGGTATATTCTTAAGGTACTTGTAGAGTAGCTGCTTTGTCGCCCGTGCGGGTATCATGGCCGGTCCAACGTAATTGGTCATTGATAATTTCAGCCTCGATTCTCCTACAGTTGGTTGTCAGCAAGTATAATGGCACTTCTCCTCTTGTCTTCCTTGCGGACTTGTAGGATAGAACGTAGTCTACGTTGGTGAAGGTTCTTAAGTGTCTCGAGGTGTCTCCAATGTCTGGCTGCCGTACAGCAGGGTGATGAGGACCACTGCTCGATAGATGTTAAACTTTATTGATAGATTCAATCCCCTACAACTGAGGACACAGGTGCGCAGTGTACCAAAGGCCTGAGACACAAAACTAATTCTATGACGAATCTCTTCACCGATGTTCGCGGGTACTAGAAATGGATAACGTTGGTGAGGGTGATCCGGTAACCCTCACTCTTGATTCGAAAATTCGAGTTCGGATTTGAGGATCTAGTTTGGCCCGCTTGTCCGTCATTCCGAGGGGCCTTAAGCATAAATACTTTGGGTAAACAAAATATGGAGAAAAAGAACTCTATTTGTTATGACCGCAGGTGGTTCGGTGACCTCATTATATCTCCTCTCCCTTTTCATGAGTAAGAGAGGTGATACCCCCCCCCCCATGGCTTACCTTGGCCAATCACGTCTCCCTCATCATAATGGTACTTGTTGTCACTTCCTCATTGACTCACCGGGGAATTTGCTACCTTGCTTCACGCTCTCCTGCCTTACATCCGTCAATATTTTCCTAAACTCGTCCCGCTGCACCATTTATACACAAAGCTCATTAGATCCGTAATATTTGCTGTATGTCTTCTTGTCTGTATATTATATGAGTGATGGTATGCATGTTGCTCCTACCTGAAGTTTGATTTATCTAGAGGGACGCGTTGTCATCTTTCGATTTGGTTTTCATCTGCTGCATTAATCATATTCTCTCTCTCTCTCTCTCTCTCTCTCTCTCTCTCCTCGTGGACTGTGTTAAACATACCAAATCAAGAGGCGATACTCCGAACTTGGTTTATAATAAAACTTTACCGGGGAAATTCGCCAAGGTCGTTTCTGGTGTAACGCACTTTTTTTTTTAACCATCCGTGAAGCGTGCAGTCATCACACACACACACACATGCGCGCGCGCGCGCGCGCAGGTGAGTACAGCCATGACAACTTGAGTGACATAAGTGAGAATACTGTAGACAAATGTAACAGTGCGTAACAGAAAGCCAGTACGTGCCCACAGTGCCTAACATAGACGTGACCGACCCCAGAAGCGGTTAATAAACCGATCAATGGCAAAGAGAATAAAATAAAATAAAGTACACTAAAATAAAATAATTGTTGTCTCTAAGACCATAATAAAAAAGTAACGAAGTCTTCCCTTGTAAAATTTACATTTTCTTTAATGTCCAGTTTGCAATAAAGAAAACGTGCGTAAATAAAGTTTCATGAATGAGTTTGAATGCGGATCTTAAATAACTTTGAATGAGTTTAAAGATGCTACCGTAGTATTAAAGAGCCCGACTGAGTATCAATTTAATTAAATGGGTACTAATAAGAATAACAATAATAATATTCCTCATTTGAGAGGGAAACGTCATAGAAGAAAAGTGTCTTAGAATTGACTGAATTATTGATTGCAAACAGAAAATTCTCATCATGATGATGATGATGATGATGATGATGATGATGATGATGATGATGATGATGATGATGATGATGATGATGATGATGATGATGATGATGATGATGATGATGATGATGATGATGATGATGATGATGATGATGATGATGATGATTGATGATGATGATGATGATGATGATGATGATGATGATGATGATGATGATGATGATGATGATGATGATGATGATGATGATGATGATGATGATGATGATGATGATGATGATGATGATGATGATGATGATGATGATGATGATGATGATGATGATGATGATGATGATGATGATGATGATGATGATGATGATGATGATGATGATGATGATGATGATGATGATGATGATGATGATGATGATGATGATGATGATGATGATGATGATGATGATGATGATGATGATGATGATGATGATGATGATGATGATGATGATGATGATGATGATGATGATGATGATGATGATGATGATGACAGTGATGATGATGATGATGATGATGATGATGATGATGATGATGATGATGATGATGATGATGATGATGATGATGATGATGATGATGATGATGATGATGATGATGATGATGATGATGATGATGATGATGATGATGATGATGATGATGATGATGATGATGATGATGATGATGATGATGATGATGATGATGATGATGATGATGATGATGATGATGATGATGATGATGATGATTTAGAATTGCGCTATTTTAAAGAAATTAACCTTAGTTAATCCCTGAGAAGTGGCACCACTGCCACTTGTACACAATAACACAAGTCACAGTCCGACTAATTACCCAAGTGTAGTCGCAATGAAGTCAAATAATGGTCCTACATGAATAAATCGGGTTACCAATCACTTCTCGACTAGTATTTGGTGTCACAAAGTAAAAAAATTGGAAAACGCAATTTAGTTTGAGTTAATAGATCGGGTGCATGTACCCAACCCAACCCAACCCAACCTAACCTAACCTAACCTCGACTCGTATTTGGTGTTACTAAGTCACAAAAAATTGGTAAACTTAATTTAATCTGAGTTAATAGATCAAGTGCATGTACCTAACCTAACCTTACCTAACCTAACCTAACACAACATAACTCAGATTAAATTAAGTTTACCAATTTTTTGTGACTTTATGACACCAAATAATAATCGAGAAGTGATTCACAGCCCGATTTACGCTTGCACGACCATCATTTGACTTCATTGCGACTACATTTGGGTACATTTGGCAGGGTGACAGGCAGTGAGACAGGTAGGCAGGAAGGGAGGCAGGCAATGAGGCAGTAGGCAGAAAGACAGCCAGGCAGGTAGGCATGCAGTCCAGCAGACAGGCAGGTAGGCTGTGAGACAAGCAGGCAGGCAGGCAAGCAGGCACGAAGGCAGGTAGGCGGGAAGGAAAGGGGCAGGCAGGGAGGCAGAAAGAGAGGGGGGGGGGCAGGGAGCGAAGCTGACAATACCAACTTATTCAGGGGAATTAAGAACAAAACAGAGTGTGAAGAGCTACAGAAAGATTCTGTCAGCTTCAGGAGTTGCCAGAAGAATGGCTGTTAACATCCAATGTTGATGCGAGAGATGAACGAAGGAACAGCATTAACGGAGACCTAATGTGAAAAGGAGCTGAGTGTGTATGTACGGACTAAGTTAGTGGGTCTTATAAGAGCGTTCATATACAAGGGCAGATCCAGGGGGGTCCGGACCCCCCACCCCCCTTCACCTGAAAATTCCAATAATTTTTCTTCAATGCAGTATTGTACTCAGGCGTTTTTGTATAGTAAAAGGTAATTACTATTGACTTAAGAATATCTCCTTACATCATGTGCACATGGCTTCAAAATTACCTCAAAATGTCCATGATATTGGCCAGATTTCAAAAAGTTATTGGCCAGATTTCAAAAAGTTTTCTGGGGGGGGGGGGGCTAACAGCACCCCTCAAAACTACCCAGATGGGTGGGCTCGCTCTCATCGCCATGTTCCCCCACACAAAACTTCTTAGATCCCCCCTTTTGATATTCCTGGATCCGCCCATGATATATCTCTGAAAGCTCTTCAAAAGTGAGGTGATTCCGATGGAGCATTTTGACTCCATCAAGTCGACAAGATATGCTTGACTGTCAGTTGATTGAAAGCTTCCAGAGGAGGGCCACCAAACTTATGCCTGCACCAAGGCATCTCAGGTGCCCAGAGAGGTTAGAACACCTACAATTGCCTAGTTTATACTACAGGTGGGCAAGGGGCGACATAATACAAGTTTATAAACACCACCCATGCTTCAGTCACACCACCCATGCCTCAGTCACACCACCCATGCTTCAGTCACACCACCCATGCTTCAGTCACACCACCCATGCCTCAGTCACACCACCCATGCCTCAGTCACACCACCCATGCTTCAGTCACACCACCCATGCTTCAGTCACATCACCCATGCCTCAGTCACACCACCCATCTTGAGTTCTTGCTGTAGTCATTTTAATTTTTCACAATGATGTTTATAATCGGGAAGATGATGTTTTTAACCTTAAAATTTGTAGGAAATAATCTATATACAGCTCCTCCCCGACTTACAACCTACTCGACTTACGACCTGCCTCGGTCGTACTAAAATTTTGTCAAATTACGTATTTTCGAGTCCCAAAGTCAGTACACAGACATAATTTTCGTTTGTAATTCACTTGAAAATGGCTGGCTAGCTTAAAAGTGAGAGTTTTGTGATGCTGAGAAGAAAAAGAGACACCCATTTTAGATTTTCTATCTATTATTTAAGCATTTTTTACTTACAACCTGGATTTGGGTCCCTAACCCCGTCGTAAGTCGGGGAGGAGCTGCAGGAAACATGCAGGTATTTTATTTTTATTTAACGGTGGTAAAAGTTGTTGTGTATGGTATAAAGTTTTGAGTAATACTAAAGATGTCTTGGTTTTATAAGGTGACAATTAACACAAAGAAGCGCTGATGATCCTCACTTTCAAGGATTACCATAGTACTGCACACAAGACATGGAGCCAATTACAATTGTTGATTAGTTGCGATGTATCAATATTTTTGGATTATAATTACCCTGTACTGTGATATTTTTTTCTTTATTAGATTACAATTGTGATTACATTAGCTTCAATACATTTCGATAAGATAATTGTTTCCCTGGGTTAGACATATATTTTTTGATTGCAGCTACAAGATTTTGGGTAACTTAAAAATTCAGTTTTGACTTTTACGCTGCCATTTGGAGTGGGTACTGTACTGTAAATGAAAATGGGTGATAATGGATGGAGCCAAGTTTTACAGGAAGTGAGTAGCACAAAATATCCAATAGCACAGGAGTATCACATAATACTGAAAATGTGCTTCCCCAAGAACCTGGGGAAACACCTCTCATTTTGACACAGCTTCTTGTCAAATGCCTGAGGTGTGGTGACGATAGGCCATAAGAGCTTTTAAAATCGACTAAGTTCTTCCTGTTTTTTCGTCGCGTCCTCCGTGGTGACTGGACCTCCGAAGTGTCTGGTTATCTCCTGTAGTGTCTTGCCCTTCGTCTCCGGCACCACCAGGATACAGAATAAGAGGCTGATAGCGCAGAACCCAGCGAAAAGCCAATAGATGCCATAAGGTCCAATTGCTTCCTTTGGGAATCAGTGAGACACAAATGAAAAACTCCACATCATGTTACTTTTTGTTTCAGCTTTCTTTAATTCATGATGAGATAAAATGTTAAAATTAAAGGGTCAACTCATCTGTGAGGAGAGGTTATAAGAGACTGTACCTGTAATGGCTGGAAGAGGAGCGTGACAAGGAATGCCATCGTCCAGTTGACCATGGTGGCTAGACTGCTTGCTGGACCACGCACGTTCAGCGAGAAGAGTTCACCTAGACATACTCTTTAATGTTAGTTGGTCAGAGATGTAGAGAAGGAGAAGAAGGAGAAAGAGGAGGAGAAGGAAGAAGAGAAAAAGAAGAAGAGGAGGGGGAGAAAGATGTGAAGAAGAGGAGGAAGAGGAGAAAGAAGAAAAGAAGATGGAAGAGGAGAAGTAGAAGAAGAAGGAGAAGAAGGGGAGGTAGTGTGACAGGTCTTGATAGCACAGGATCAATCAATCAGAGTACCATCCTCATATCTGATGGTATAACATTCTCGTATTCTTAAAAAGCTTCAGTACCGACAGTCTTATCAGCCTGGCTTACACCTCCCTCAATTTAGTACCACTTTTCTCAACAACATATATCAGCAAATATGAAAAACAAATCTATATAATTAATCATATACACAATTACTACATAGGTAAAAATCACACAAAATTCAATTCAGGGTTTGTTGTTGGATTACTTACCCATCATAAGCCAAGGGATGGGGCCAAAGCCTATAGAGAAAGCGGTTATGAAAATGATGAGGCAAGTCAGTGGCAGCCAGCTTAAGGTCTCCACCGCTCTCTCCTCATTCAGAAACTTCTCGTAGAAATACACATCAAGAGCCACTGGTGGAAGAGATAGACAAAGCCTTAGGTAGTACGACATCACCTGGGTTATGTTGTAGGTAGTGAAAGATAGCTGTACAGGTGAGGGTGGTGAATGTCAACAGTATTATGAGATAAATGGATGGTATTCAAAAGTTTTGTGGTATAGCTCTTGTATGGTAGTAGGGCAGTATGGTAGCATGATAGTATGGCAGTATGAACACTTGGTAAGGCATTCTTCTTTCTAGTATGCTGACCTAGTGAGACTATCATGGCAGCCGCAGAGATGATGAGAAGGACTTTCCTGCCAGCCTTGTCCATGAGTATCCCGGAGATGGCTGTGACCACCACCTGCACCAGACCCACGATGATGGAACTCACATCATCTGGCAGACCCGACCCAGCCTCCTGCAAGGGCGATACAATATGGCTGAAGAACAACTTGACTTTGTACAATCATTTATTTACTCATATTCTATACAGGTGTAAGTGAGTGTCGAGTTTGCCAGCTAGAGTGGCGTATTTTATGTCGTCCGTGGGGTATCCATGAGTTTCTGATCGCGCCTGAAGTTATATCATTTTGTGGCCCCCGACATCAGAGAACCTGATGTTTATAGTTTAGTTAGTGTCAGTTGTCTATTTAAGAAAGTCATTAATCTCCTGAACTATTCTGTCAACTGGTATAATCTCCAAGATCTAGCGCCTCCCCGTGAATAGCTCCTTGTTCGCCTCAGGCCTGAGCTTGCAGAATTAATGTTATCGACGTGTATATTCCACCTTTTCCTGGCAAGCTCAACCTCTGATTAGATTATATGAATAGACATAGGAAATTACCCTGATCAAGAACACCGGAGTTCATAACTAAGTATACAGTGATCCAAAATGATAGAGAAGTTATGTTGTTGGTAAGATCGACCCTTCTGGTATGAATATGGAGGCCCAAGCTGCCCAGCAGGTGCACATATATACCTCTACACGAGGGAGAATCACGCATTCGTGACTTCCTCAACGTCTCTCCAGTGTGTTGAGCTGAATACTCATCGGCTAACGTGGGGCGGTAACCGGGTTGGACGATGCCGTTAATTCGACAGGACTGAACTGGGAAGTCCGTTTCCTGCAAATCAGGCGCCCACTCCCTGAGCGTGTGTCGGTCTACAACCGACCCCTAACAGCGATCTTCATTTGTTGTAGAGACCAGCGTTACCCTGGGGCACTCCTCACAGTTACATAGGCCTAAGTATTATTGTATCTTGTTTGGGGGATAACTAGCAGAAATATAGTATCCCAGGTTAAGTATTGAACCACTGAATGAGAGTTAAAAGTGCCATGTTGTTCCTTGCGAATTAACAGGAGGTATTGTATGTTGAGATAATTGTGGAGTTGTCCAGTGTGTTATGTATTCATCGGTAGTGACCATGAAATGATAATCTGAGAGTATAATGATATAACCAAGAAGTGAAGAGTTAATTTGCTACTTGGTAAGGTAAGACCTGAGGGTCCAGTGATATCTGGTGTATACCCAGTACTGAATATCATTTGGCAGAGTGACAATACCACAATTGTCGATTGAAGTAATAAGTATTTGGAGGTATTTAATGAGGTAATAAGTTCTTGAAGTGTTTGATGACTTAATAAATAAATTGCAGTTCTGTTTTGTCTGAGTGAATCTAAGATGCATCTTATCCAATCACTGTGTTAATAAATATTGAATTAGTAATCTACGAGTATCACCACTCTATCCTTTCCCACATTGGTTCTCAGAAAATAACTAACTCACGTGCCTAGAAGCTCGCTACCTAACAGTTAACTAAGAGATGTTATATTCTAGAAAAATCCTGGGTGGTGGCAGGTCTACCGGTGTAAGTATAATAAGTGTGGTAATAAGAAAGACATGGTTTCCCAGGTTAATCCATGGTTTAGAATATAACTAGAACAAAATATATGGAAGAGATTATAATATATGAAAGGAAATGAAAAGAAAGAACATTGACTTGGAAAATATAAGCAGAGAAGCATAAGAGTTACTTATATAAGAATATATAAGAATATAAGGTATATAGAGATAAAGAACATATAAGAATATAAGCAAGAATATATAAGAATAAGTATATATGTAAAGAATTGAAGAAGGATAACTATATAAAACAGGACACTCATTGGAAAGAATGCTACAACGAACATAGAAGTATATGAATAAATAAGAAGACTAACAAAAATAATATCTGGATGGTAAATTAGAAAACGTAAGAAGAGTACTGGCTGTCTCATAAAGGCATTAAACATTAAAATACATGAGTTGGTGGATGTTAAACTCACCTCAAATATTAAAGACAAGTTAAAGAGAACAGCATTAACACCCGACAGCTGCTGAAAGACCATAAGGGTGCAGGAGATGAGGAGAGGCTTCAGGATGTAAGGTTTTTTAAGGTCGCTCAGGGAGACTGTGTTCTGTCGAGCCTCCTCTTGCGTCTTCCTCATCAGTTGCATCTCTGGTTCCACGTCGTAATGTTTTCCTGTCACAGTACGAGTGAGTTAGTGCGTGTGAGCGTTGACAGTTTAGTACAAGATTAAAAAAAATAAAATACTCAAATATAAAAGCATTTCATTGTTTACATTCATTGAAGAAGAGATTCCGGAAAAAAAAAATTATCAGAAAGAGATGAATTTGTACCTATGTGTTCAATGCTACACACAAACACCACACACACACCCACACACACATTCCTTATACTCACCTCTGAAGTACTGTAGCGCTTCTTTTGCTTCTTTATCTTTCCCTTTGGAGAGAAGATAAGTAGGGGATTCCTTGGTGAAGAAGACCAAGAAGAGATATATGACGGGAGGGATGGCACAGACCAGAGCCATGCCCCTCCAGGTGGTCATGACAGCTCCGAACACATAGGCGTACTCCAGCCCAACCACAACCATCAACTGGAAGCCCGTACCTGTGGAAAACTTTCATAATTATACACACCTGTTGGCTCTCAGACAGGTGTGGAACTTATAAAACACACCTGTTGGCTCTCAGACAGGTGTGGAACTTATAAAACACACCTGTTGGCTTTCACAAGGTGTGGAACTTATAAAACATATGTTGGCTCTCACAGGTGTAAAGGCTAATTAACTATATTTCGCCAAAGTAAAAAAATAAAACCATACTTTACGTTTCTCATATTAGTGATGTGGTTACGACTACCTTCAGTGACCCGTTGTTCACCTTACCTAATGTTCCTCTGATGTCTGGCGAGGCAAACTCCCCTATATACGTGGGCACAGCGATACAGGTTACCCCAGCACACAGACCGGCAAGAACTCGTCCACACACCAACATGGCGAAGTTCTGGGCGAAGGCTGTAGGCGATATTCATAACTAATTAACAAAAACATCATTGAACAGGTTAGTAATTAATAAACAACTAATTAGGGTTTTAATTCGAGTTTGTGTTTTAATGATAGAGGTTATAAATAATTCCATTATAAAATGTTTTAGTTATGTTATGAATTATATGTATTTTTTGTATAAATTATTAAGGATTATTTCAACCACTTAGCAAAGGATTTTACACACACAAACACACTAACAAGTCATTACATAACATTAGATTCACCTATAATCATCCAGGAACCCAAGAAGGGCAACACAGAAGCAAGCATCGTGCCTCTCCTTCCCAGGGTATTGACACACATCCCACCCAGGAGCCCTCCTATAAGAGCTCCCAAGTTAAAGGTGGAGGAGAACCAGTTGTTTTGTTCCATAGTGATAACTAGGGAAGAGTTGGTGGAATTGTCCATAAGTTGAGGGCTGGCGTCGGAGGTGTAGCCCAAATTGGTGCCGAAACTGAGTGCTCCCAGAGTGACTGTAATGGGGAAAGTGTATGTATTAAAACAGGATTACATACAAATTAGGCCCCAATCAAGTTTATTTCATCTGATAATTTAAACATCGTAATGCTACCTGTGGGGTTAGGTTACGGTAAGTGTTAAGGTGGTTAATCTTATGCCGAGTAAATTTAATCAGGGAATCTCTCAGTGCGACCTGGGATCGGACCAGAGCCCGTTAAACACTAGTCTTTAACTCACAAACTCATACATATACCTTTTCTTATATTTAAACAAAATTACTTGTAAATTTTAAAGGAAAGAATTTATTTAGGACACAGTTGAGTATACCTGAGATGGCAGCAATGTACTGGGTGAGGTGTGAAGGCTCCTTGTTCCTCTCCAGCAACTCTGACGTAGACCTTCCAATGTCGCCCATGATGAATATGTCAGGTACTCACTGTTACTTTGTTACTCTGAAATTTAAGAAAAGAAATAACATTATATTATTTCACCCATATTACCCTTGGTTTATATCCGGCAACAGAGGGTGGTGTTATATCGGGCATGGTTATGTTGACAGTAACGGATATGTCTGATTATTGGTGGGAATACTGGAAAAGTCTGAATATTGGTGGAATATTGGGACGGTCTGAATATTGACTTAAGAACAGTAATCAAAGAATCTTTCTAAATGGAGAAGAATCTGACTGAAAAAAAATAATTATATATATATATATATATATATATATATATATATATATATATATATATATATATATATATATATATATATATATATCTAGACCTGACTTACGATGGGGTTAGGGACCCAAATCCAGGTCGTAAGTCCGACATAGAAAAATGTAAGTCGGGGTCTATATATATATATATATATATATATATATATATATATATATATATATATGAGCAGATCATCTGAAGATTAGCTCTTATAGCTTATATTATCTGAAGCTTAACCACCCTAACGCTAAACTAATCTAATCTTAACCCCACTCAGGTAGCATTGGGGGTGCTTAACCATCAGGTGCAGGCCCGGATTATCCATTAGGTACAGTAGGCACAGTGCCTAGGGCCTACGAGATATTGGGGGCCTACGAAAAATAAAACGAGAACTTTTCTTCCCCTTTTTCTACAGGTTATTATTAAATTGATACTGAGGTACTTTTTTCCATTTATTTATTACTTAATCCTATTAGTGTCCACCAGCTAGCTGTGCTTCTTGTAAACAAAACTATTTCTGTACTGTACAAGAACACCTGATCTAACCCATTTTCTTTTACTCAATTCATGGCAAACATCACTGAATCTTTTCTTTCGACATCACATTTTAATTTTATAATTAGGTACTAGCTTGTGTTATTAGTGAATATGCCGTCAAATGGGGCCCCATATCTTGGAGGTGCCTTAGGCCTACGAAAGTCTTAACCCGGCACTGATCAGGTGAAATAAGGGAGAGGAGGAAAAATCTTCAGGTGATCAATTTGTTATCACCACTAAGCCGCGTATTTGCCGACAAAGCTTGGTTTAAATTCCGTTTAACCTTCAAAATAAACAGAAAATCAGAACAATTCTTTATCCATTTGTCAGTTTACAGATATAATATTTAAATATTAGAAAAATATTTATAATTCCTCGTTTCAGAATGATTTCCAAATTGTCAAGTGTAACGAACGTGTCAGTGATATGTAATCTTGTTTACTTACTCCAAGGTTATTATTATACACTTCACTTACTGCCGTCCCTCTCGCTCTAAATAGCGATCCCGATAAGAAACTATTATAATTTTTACTAACATAAATTTTTATTCTATGTCAAATACATTTATAGAGTAATAATATTATAACTGCTTCTGGATTCGGATCATCTGAAGATTCGACACCCCAGCTTATATCACTTGATTGAACATTTTAACGCTGCCTGCTTGGGTTAGGCTAGGCTATAGGTTACGTTTTGTTAGGTTAGTTTATGTTAGGTTAGATTTGATTAGGATAAATTAGGTTAGAGAAGGTTAGGTTAGATAAGGTTGGTTACCTAATATTTACGTGATTCCCAAATTCTTCCCGACATTCACTAGAGCACCAAAACATATTGTGGGGTAATGGGTCGCCATGCTTGCCGTCGGGAGCGACAAACAGCGTTTGTAGGGGAGAAATCCACTACAATACCACCTCGTGTCGCCAAACTTTATACTCACCCCCATGTGCCTCCCTAAAAACCAGATAGCATCTCCCGTACTTCACCACACTATACCACCACCAACAACTCTCAGACCACTACCAGGAAGATGAGCACCTCCACCCCCCACCCCCTCCCTTCCAACACACTACACAAAAATAGAATCATAATTTCAAACTATCTAAATTATAATATAAATTTACACAAGAGAAAAAATACTCCTGTCAGTGTGATGAACCTGTGAGCTTAGAGCCAACACAATTAAACCTAAAAAAAAAAATAAAAAACAAACAGAACATCTTTGTGGTCTGAACCGGTCACCACCAGTAGCCGTTGCCTCTCTCCCTCCGGTGTGTTGTTCTTCAGGTAAAAAGTTCCTTCCCTCCCTGACCTAGATTAGTTTAGTAGTTTATTGACAGAAGTATAAATACATGGTAAATATATACAATTGAATTAAAAATACATTTGTCCAACAAAATATTTTAAGTCAAAAAATAACATGTAATGGGCCGATCAGTTTGACGTCAGTCGTGGGGAAATTTCTTGAATCAATTATAGCAGATAGCATCCGATCGCATTTGGAGAAAAGCAAATAAATCTACGATTCTCAACATGGGTTTACAAAGGGAAAATCTTGTCTAACAAATCTGCTGACGTTTTTTAGGAAAGTCTTCGAGGTAGTAGATAATGACGAAAATTACGATGTTATTTACTTAGACTTTAGCAAAGCATTTGACAGAGTACCGCATCAGAGGCTTCTGAGAAAAGTTAAGGCTTATGGTATCGAGGGGAAAGTTTTAAATTGGATAAAATCATAACTCACCGATAGAACGCAGAGGGTCAGCGTAGATGGTGTTAAATCTGAGTGGGGCTGCGTAACCAGTGGGGTTCCCCAGGGGTCAGTACTAGGCCCACTCTTGTTCATAATCTACATAAACGATCTAGATACTGGGATCAGCAGTGACATAAGCAAGTTTGCGGATGACACCAAAATAGGGCGGCAGATTAATTCAGGGCAGGATGCAAATGCACTACAGGAGGATCTAAATAAACTGCAGGGGTGGTCTGAAAAATGGCAAATGATATTCAACACCAGCAAGTGCAGCGTACTTGTGAAAGAGACCTAGGGGTACTTGTAAGCCCGGACCTACGGCCTAGAAAACAGTGCGTTAATGTTCGAAACAAGGCAAACAGAGTATTGGGTTTTATATCTGGATGTGTAACTAATAAGAGTGCAGAGGTCTTATTGCAACTATATCTTGCGTTAGTCAGGCCGCACCTCGATTATGCGGTTTAGTTCTGGTGCCCTTATTATAGAATGGCTATCAATTCACTAGAGTCGGTGCAGCGAAGAATGACGAAAATGATTCCGGGACTTAAAAACCTTCCATATCAAGATAGGTTAAAGAAATTAAACCTAACATGTCTTCATTTCCATAATAGTTGAGTACTGTATATGCCTTGTAAACAAATGTCTGCACACTAACTATATGAAGGCTCTCTGGTGAGGATCCATATACGGTATTTACATGTAATATTTTTCCAAATAAAAGACCATTTAAACAGCAGAGACTTTCCTCCAACTGCTGGTTTAGTCCATGTCTTAACATATTGTATACATTTTTACTCCTGACATTGGGAAAGTGTTCATGTCTTGTTTTTTTGAAAGGGTATTTATTGCATTACTATAATCAGGTGGAGAAAAGGAGGAAACATTATCTCAAGTTTTCATATCTTGTAGCTAACTGGCCTTGTATAATATGAAAGGAAAAATTTTGGTATAAAGATAATTTCCTGTTTGATAGAAAACTAACAGTTATGGTGATATTTTTTCAAGATTTTATCCCAATTCATCTGTACAGTGAGTTCATCACTGTCATAACAAAATTATAATACCTAATATTGTACTTTGGTGTATTTTACTGACTTCATCCACAGACCAGGCCATAGTTCTCTTTATTACACTCACCCAACCCCAAGTTCATGAAAAACTTATAACTTTATTGTTAGATTTAATAAGGATAAAGAAGAAGGGAACAGATATTACACTCAATTCCTACGTTTTTATGGTTGTCACAGGCTTTATTTACCTATATTCACTGTAAATGATCGCATTTTATTCCCAGAATTGGCTTATAATCCAAGAAAATAGGAAAATGAGGTGCACCTTAGCTTGGGATTCAAGTTTTCCATGCTCGTAAATCGTGTAGCAAGAGTAAACGTTCCGTGCCACTGACAACGTTTTCAGGGTGCAAGCATGATACCAACCCCCAAGTCTTCCGCCAGTTGGTACACCTGACTACACTACGATGACGTAGTAATAACAAACGACAGTCGGGTACCACCATGGCCCATCTTGAATAATCACACAATTTTCGCTCCATTGTATTACAACCGCCGGGATACCATGCATGGTGTACACCACGGCTGATCTTGCATATGGGCCTAACTCTCGACAGGAGCTGCCATGCACAGGCCAACCGGCCTATTGCAGACTCCTTATTTACTTATGTTCTTATTTCAAACAACTATCGATTCATAGTACCTCATGTACATACTTACATAATTCAGGCACATACATATATTTTCATTAGAGAGTTCAATGATACTGGAGAAAGTCAGCATATGATACCTTTCACGACGATGTGCAGAGAGTGGACCATCACTAAGCACATGTCGTTCACTTTGTACATGACTGTCGTCGCGCTGACATACAGTACTCGCAACTCTGCTGGTGTGCGACTCCACCTGCCTTTCTCTACTTTGGTTGTGTGACATTAATCTCAGCCTGGTGAATGACTCGCGCTGAAAATCCGGGATAAATTTCTTAAGTATACCTCATGCACTGTCATAGAAGGGTTCAGATCGGATATGTATGGAGCAAATTTGTAGCACCACCAGATGCCACCAGCTGACCTTGTAGTGGATTTCTCCCCTACAAACGCTGTTTGTCGCTGAGTAGCCAATCCCACGAATTCCCCAGTGTATGCCTCGTGGTCTAGGTCAACCAGCGCCGCCCACGGAGCAGGGGTCAACTATCTGCCCACGCCTACCTCCGCTATATAAGACCTGACCTCGTGGTGACCGCTCTCTTTCTACCTACACCAACCAGCCAGCAACACCTCCTCCTCCTCCGCCTGCCTGGCGGTCCTCACTCCCGCCGGCGAGCATGGCGACCCACAAGCTGATCCTCCTCTGAGCATCCTCACCAACCAGCTCTCTCTACATCACGCTTGTAACCACGCTGCCACTTCCCAGCACCAAGCTGCATTGTACATCCAATACAACATGTATACAGAGAGCACATTGTGAGTTTCCTTTCTCCATCCCATCCTGATTGTGAAGCCAAACATCCCAATTCCCACAACCTCTCCATCACCAGATTCGTCTCTTATCAAATGGGTTTGTGTTACGGCCTAAGGTAATTGCTCACGCCATGAATCTAAATCCTGGTGTATTTGCTATCCTACATAAATCATAGACCAAATGAAGAGGTTGTTCCATGTCCATTATCTCATGTTTTGATTTCATAAGCTTGCATCTCCTCTTTGCGATAATGTCTTGCACTGATTAATACTCGTGTTTTTCCTCACACCTAACAAGCACTTCACCAGTTTATTTTAGTGTCTTTCCAATCCTTTCAAGTTATTGGTCAGCCACGACTCAGAACCGTACAATAATGACGACGTTACTGCAGAATCAAATACTTTTTTTTTCTTGTATACAAATGACATTTGTGTGTTGGCTGCACAAAAAATGGAAAACTTCTTGACCGTGGCTTAAGGCTTATCGTCCTATCACCATTACTGGTCCTACACCTCGCCTGTTCCTCTCCATACTGTACAGTGACTTATCTTTAATGAGGAAATTATACGGATAGTTATACGTGTCCTCGATTGAAGAGTAACGGAGTGGAGTACAGAGATGATGAAAAAAAAATACTTATGAAATCTATCTGTCTCAACTAACACCTTCCACACTCCACACTTGTGCCTATCACCATGTTTGTGGAGTGTGTGTTTGTGTGTTTGTTTGGTTGTGTATGTGCGTGTTTCTATGTAAGTATTTGTGCATGTGTGTGTGTTTACCAGACTTATCTAGGGTGGCCCTGTAGTGTCCACTGGGTAAGGAGATACTTTATCACTAACCTATCACGTATTGAGTGCCGCTGGGTATACAGTATACTGTATACGTATATACTCCATATATAAACCATGTGACGTACAACACCTCGGTATTACCTCAGTGATGACAGATGTTATGTATATTTTTTAAAGATACGATTTTTAAGGTAAGGTATTTGTTATTTTATGTTTTTAAAGTGTACTTGGTGCTTATGTTTCGCTGGCGTAACCGCAAAGGCATTATGCTGTTAGCTTGACGGTGTGTGTGTGTTTGTTTACGGTATTGTGGCCTTTATCCTCCCTCCATGATCCTTACAAAAGAAAGATTAGTTATTTTATTAATGGAAATGGATGTAATAGTTATATACCAAATGCTTCTTGATGGCGCCGTATAAATATAATATATATCCCAAATATTTCATAGTACTAATGTACTGTACGATAACATCAAAATGTGAAGTATGGAAAACAAAGGCATATATATTTCATTAGCCCAATAATGCACGCAGACTTCTACATACAATCAACACCTCAACCTGCCAGGATTCGAACCCACGGCCCATGAGCCCATAACTGTGACCGGGGAACGCTACCTCTGGACCACCAGGATACTAAAAGCATTCCAAGACTTGTGGGTTCGAATCCTGGCGGGTTGAGCTGTTGATTGTATATATATATATATATATATATATATATATATATATATATATATATATATATATATATATATATATATATATATATATATATATATATATATATATATATATATATATATATATATATATATATATATATATATATATATATATATATTATAGAGAGAGAGAGTACTTGACATGGATGAAGGTCACACCGGCGATATTATCAAAGAAAAAAAAAGAACCGCTGTGTTTACAAATAATGATTATAGATTATCATTAAGTGTTACTATTCTTATTGATACATATTATTTCCTTGAGTCTTGTGCTACGATAACTTCCTCCTTTAACAATACATCGAGAGGACCAGCGAGAGATAGATAGATTGACAGTACAGTTGATCGCTTCCAGACGAGAATAAATGGATTTATTACGTGTGATGCCCTCCCTCTCACGCCCTTAAGCCGAAGTGTTTACCTTTGGCCCAACATATAACACGGCTCTTGGCCTCAGCTCGTTGAGAATTATGTTGTACTAATCTGGACAATAAAGTTCATAACAAATACTCTCTCGCTAAGACTGCCTGTGGTCTTGTTTTCCTTGATGCTGGACCACACAAGTCCACAAGTCCAGACGAGGACAACTTTTTGGGGAGTGAGAATTGTGAACTCTTGGAACAATCTGCCAGAAAGTGTTGTGACGGCACCGAGCATGAGCTCTTTCAAGACCAGACTTGACCAACACTGGAGCAGGTTCCGATATATTCAGGAGCCGGTGCATGCCCAGTACTTGCCAACAGTGCGCATCAGAGACGTGAACCACCCGCCCAAGCGGCTAATGAGCCGGTCAGTGGCGAAGACGATAAAAGCAAAAGTAAAAAAGTACACCCTTCCTTATGTGTGGTCTTGTTCTCCCTGCCACTTTACTTTTATCCTTTTCGCCACTGATCGGCTCGTTAGCGGCTTGGGTGAGGTGCCGGGGAGTCATTTGTTATAAAAGTCACCTTTAATGAATATGATGTATTTCTTTGTGTATGAACCTCTGTCCTGCGTGGCAGTGAGAAGTAATACCACCCTCAGTGTCAAGACCTGACTGAATTAATCAGAATAGGCAAACTGTACTCCAAGCTTTGTCAATAAATTTGTCAAACTAAAAAAAACTAACTACTCGATAATTTAGATTTATGTACTTCTGATACGTTATGTAGATAGTACAGTAAGGGTAAACAATGTGCACAGAACGTAAGTATATAAACAAAGTACACAGCTCAACAGCCTGACCTAAACCTTATTTTCTTATGATAATTATATAGTGGGCCAAAACCCAGCAGTGGACTGACTCGAGGAACACCTACCAGCCAGCCGCCAATGTCCGTCGTCTCTGGTCAACTGAGTCACTGGTTAACGAAATGTTTAAGCTATACTCAAATCTCATCATTATCGTTTGTCGAGGAGTGATGCGATACTAACCCCCCCCCCCATACCAAACCGGGCCACTAGACAGGAGACCTGGGTGGGGTCGCACTGAAACATCTCGAGAACCCTCGTCATGTTGTCAGCTGCGGGTATTTATTTTATTTATGATTTCTTCACTTATCAGATTACTATCCATTCGGGCGGTTGGTCCGTTCTTTGATGTTACTTTGTTAATTGTTATAAACTTTATTTGTCCAGTGTTAGTACAAGAGTAAGCATGAATCTGGGAAACCTGTGATGTTTGGTAGTGAGGGTCATACTGGACCCTTCCCACGTGTGTTCAGGGCTGAGCAGGACATATTGTACCGTCAACTGTATTGTAGTAGTAAAAAATGTGCTTAAAAAAAAGTTATAGTTTTAACGTATATACGTCAAGCCCCTTCACACAATTGGCTCTGACGTCTCAGTCGGATTAAAATGCCCAGAGTGGCGGGTCATATTGCCAGCTTCCGTGGCCTTTATCTTTATTTGGAGGAAGACTTACTTCTCTACTGGGATGAGTTAACTTATAGTCACAAATTCTTAATAGATCTAGGAAGCCTTTGCACCGCAATGGCAGTATACTGTAATATTCAAAAGTCAACTTAGCTCGCTCGGTCTTTCAGAGTTGTTTCCTGAAAGTTTTCTTTTTTTTTCTCGTTAATCTATTTTACTTTTTTCTTCAGTATTCCTCTGCAGCTCTTAGTGTCATTATGCCCTGTCTTGAAAATATTCCTCACCACACTTCTGATATTACTAGGAATGGTGGATCACAAGCATAATCACAGCCATTAAAATACGTTACACTCGTATACTGTGCCTATTGACAGTTTGTTTCGCCGTTATACCCAAATATTCTATGTCCATTGTTTCCTCTAAACATTCACTATTATTCCACGAAATTTATTTTCAGTTTTACTCGGCATCACTGGTATAACTATGGACTGTCTTAGGTACAGTAGTCTCACCACAAACGCTAGCCGTCGTATGGAAGGTGAATCGCAGTCATGGACACGAATCCATAAAAAAGTCAAGAAAAAAGTCACAGAAAAAAACCTAACCTAACCTACCTTAACCTAACATACGTGCAATGCCATCATATATAAATTGTGTTGCCAATGTGTACAATTCATGTATTGTCAGTTAATAAGTGACTTTTTTCATTACTTTAACTGTTTATGATATATAAATAAAATATAACTTTTTTCCGAGCCAAAATTGTGACTTTTTTTTCTGTGACTTTCCGTTCACCATGTACACAGCTCATCGAAAACTACTGTATATCGTGACGTGTAGTACTAATTGCTTTGGTTGTATCCACACAGTTTGCCTTTGCTCAATCGCAATTAACAACAAAAATGCTACACCGGTTGACAAATTCACTTCACCTGAACCACCTTGATGTGTTTATGAATTCACTGACCAATTTCTGTAGCTTGATAAACAAACACACGAATGTCAACACTCAACAGACTGTGTAGGAGAGGCGTGACCCGACACCCCGTACGACTCCCGAAGACTGACCTCTAGTGACCCACACCCACAGTAGAGTCGTAGACCCAGTGGATAAATTAACGGCGTGGTATAATGATTTTAGCCTAGTGCTAATTTAGTTAACGAGAAATTCCATGTGGAGGATAGAGTTATTACGAGAATTTTATTTGCAGATTTTATTTAGAGTGGTGTTCAGATCGAGTCCTTGCAGAACTGAAATAATGTTTATTTTATTCAAATGTGGTCGCTGTAATATGACGCCACGTCGGTCAAACTAAACAACAATGGGGGGTAAAACTGTCGAACACCGGGATCGCCAATTCTAAACAAACCAACCATTGTCAAAACCACCTAATTCACTATAGCAACACATGCGCTCACACTATAAACAAGGCAAACTTTACCATCCTAGTTGCAACAGAGTTCCATCTCTCGCTTAGACCTTCGTTACTTTAGCGCAGTATTAACATCCTCACCACTTGTGCCAACAAGACACTGGTCACAGCGGAGTAGCTAACTAGCTCGACTCGCTCCTCCCTTATTGCACCAAGTCCAGCCAGTACCGGGCACCCACTACTCTACTTTATTTGTTACCAGTTACTGTACAGTGCTTTGTTTCTAACTGGTATGTATTGTTCTTGCTGGCATGTAACATATTTGCTTATACTTGTACTTGTGTATTCACCTTTGCATTAGGTGCTAATTAAGCTTTTGCTACTTTTTCCGTTTTAGCTGTAGGGTGAACAGAAAAGCATTGTATGGGACGGGAGGACAGCTATTAAATGCAGTAAAAGCAGTCTATGAAAACAGCAGTGCAACAAGTGAGAGTAAATGGGAAAGAAAGTGAAACATTTTAAAATAAATAAATGTGGGTGTTTGGGATGCGTTCAATATAACATGGATGTGAAGTAATATTATACACTGGTGAAAATGGTGATAATAAATATTCTTACAGGGCTGCACACATCTCAAGTTGCCACTGTTCAGTATAACTGTTGACTGCTTCTGTTTATGGTTGGGCTCTGGCCTAATTGAGGTGTATGAACATGTAGTGGATTTCTCCCCTACAAACGCTGTTTGTCGCTGAGTAGCCGACCCCACCAATTCCCCAGTGTATGCCTCCTGGTCGAGGTCAACCAGCGCCGCCATACATCACGGAGCGGGGGTCAACTACTAAGCCACGCCAACCCCCCGCTATTTAAGACCTGACCTCGTGGTGATCTCTCTCTTTCTACCTACTGTACACCAACCAGCCAGCAACACCTCCTCCGCCTGCCTGGCGGTCCTCCTCCTCCTCCTCTTCCGCCTGCCTGGCGGTCCTCGCTCCCGCCGGCGAGCATGGCGACCCACAAGCTGGTCCTCCTCTGAGCATCCTCACCAACCAGCTCTCTCTACATCACGCTTGTAACCATGCTGCCTTCCCAGCACCAAGCTGCATTGTACATCCAATACAACATGTATATAGAGAGCACATTGTGAGTTTCCTTTTTCCATTCCATCCTGAGTGTGAACCAAACAACCAAAAACCCCACAAACACCTCAAAGGTCACTACTCTGCCGAGTTTACCGGACGCTCGCCCCACAGAGGATCACAGCCTCACAGCTCAAGGTTGAAGCCGCAAGCCCAGAAAACTGTGAGGGGTAACTTTTTCTGAGTGAGAGTTGTGAACTCTTGGAACAATCTGCCAGTGTGTGTTGTGACGGCACCGAGTGTGAGCTGTTTCAAGACAAGACTTGATAAGCACTGGGGCAGGTTCAGATACATTCAGGAGCCAGTACATGCCAACAGTGCGTAAGAGACGTGATCGATCGCCCATTAATCGGCTAACGAGCCGATCAGTGGTCAAGAGGGTAAAGGTACAGTAGAGAAAAGAAGAAGATTCCAATGTGTTCAGATGATGTATAAACGTGTCCAGGGGGCTAGTTGCCACTGCCCATCTCTCGAACTGTACTTAAATGAATTCTTTAACACTTACAGCTGTAAAAGTAAAATACTGTAGTCTTTTCCCATGCATTAAGATGAGTTTAAACTTAGTGTTTGTCTTTAAGCATGTAAGTTGAGTCTGGATGACTGATGTGTTTTTTTCAAATTTAGCCTTTGTACAGTGAATTTTTTTATAGAAAAGAGTATAAATGATTGCTAAATCATCCTGAATGTAATGTTTATGATTAAAAAATGTTTTTTGTCAACCCTACATTTGGTTCTCTTAAAAACAAGGAAATTGTGTAAAAATGCTGCAAGACTACACAAAGAATTTTATAAATATTTCATCTGTAAACACAAATACAATGTCTCAAAACCTAATTGGCGAGTAGTGGAAGTATATAACTTGTAAAATATTAGAGAAATTGTGAAAAAGGATAAATATTAAAAAAGGAAAAACATTGTACAAGTGAAGATATTATTGTATACAGTACTTGGAAGATGCACTGATGAAGTATTGCACATTGATGTGATATGAGAATCTATTATCAAACACAAATGGCTTGAGGAACATTTTTGAGAGTACAGTATAGTTAAAGGTAAAAGAGGAAGAGCCCAAACTGTGCCTGTTTGGTCCGGGGATTGAACCCAGGACACAGTACCTTGAGACAATTGTGTTACTGATGTTACCACCAACACCCACTTTAGTAACTAAGCATAAGATATCCTCCCGATAACAATGGATTTACATTCCTGAAAAACCCAGCACAGGTCGAAATACTGTATCGTAAATCGGGATCATTATAACATGGGGTTCAATGGGATATGTTCGCAGCCAGTCCAACACCCACATGTATTACCGAAAATAAAATTGCTGCACTGTAACACAAACAACACCAACCACACCATTAAGAACAAGTCTGGTCATCATCACTTGTCTTCTTTGAGGTTAAGAACACTCTTGAAGGTGGAGTGGAGACATCACTCTGACTCCTGCACAGCTTCACCTCCAGAGACATGGGTTTCCTCGGTGTCTTGGTCTTCCCAAACACTGCTCACTTCACAGTCACAAGAACAAAGAGAAAGCACTTGTCAAAAAACAGAGTGAACGATGATAATGTAAAAAACATTGAGAGGAAACTGCTCACATCATGTTCACAACTTTAAAGTCACAAAAAAATAAAACATAGCAAAACTCACTTCAAAGTCAACAAAACAGAATATGTACTGTACAATGTGAATGTTAGTGATGTCCTCTCACTATAAGGTAAAAATAATAAAATAAACGATGATAAGTAACAACACCGATACTGACCTATAATCGCTGCGCCACACGATCACGGCCTTGTGCGGTCACCAAGGAACAAAGCTTGGGACTGTAGTGCACTGGGTGGTTTCATATTCAGCACGTCAGCAATTTTGGCCGGATGATGACCACTGTTTATGTGAGGTTTTTTGGGGGTGTTCTTAATACATCACCATCATTCAAGCCAAATATCATAAATAGGGAGATATAAATCAGGGGATACCTGTACTATTGTTTTCCTGTACGATGACAAATAAATCACAATCACATTTATGTAACTTCACCTCTGCTTCCTATCTGAGGTGTGTTGTGATGTTAAATGTAATACAAGAACAGATTTTTTTAACTCAAGAACTTATTAATTGTTTTAACTGACAAAATAAATCTGAAAGAATCTCTCGACTACAGCAACCCTGCACCATCCTCATGAAAACACTCATGTATGATAATAGAAACAATAAGAATATACAACAATACTACTTCAGTACTACTACAATACTACTACAATACTACTACTACTACTACTCCTACTAACAATAATACCCAAATCTACTTTTTCCCATCAAAATCATATCTAGTAAACATAGGATTATCAAAGACAAAAGATTTTATAAGAATGTATTGTATAAAATTCCTAAGGATTCACACTGCCTGTTAAGTCTTTCCAAGTCTCCTCCTTGGCAGCCATCATGTTACTACAGGTTTGTACAATATCTACACTATCTACAACACAAGGTTATAACAACACATCCAAAACACAATCTCTGCAGCCATGAGGTTCATCCCCCCCCTCCCCCCAAAGTATCGTTACCTTTTCAGTCTTTACAATTTGAAACACTGCACAAATGGCTTTGATAATATTTTCCAGTACATCGTTATATGTTGGTATGCCTGCTACCCATATACTTTTTGGGGGACTGTGGAACTCGCTCCAAAAAGTATCATTACGGAGGGGTCTGATGAATTTCAAAATGAACACCGAGACTCCAGATATCTCGTTAATGTTGTCAAAATCCTTCATCATGTGTGTCATAATATTGTCTAGTACAAAATCGTATAGATACTTTTTTAGAGAGAGTGTTCCTCAAGTGCTCGATACATAAAATTAATTCTGTAATTACATATAGACAATGCTAAGTACTGTACAATACTGTAAGCATATTATACAGAAGAAATAAGTTGAAAATTATAAGTTTTGCATATTATACTGTACTGTATATAGGTAAAGTGCATGCCCTTTATCAAATCACTTTTTTTTTAGTTTGTCATGTCGGCTTGGCTCTTAATTTGTCCTGTTTATGGTTATAATTATTTTATATAAAGCATCTAAAATTTATATATTTCCTACATTTATCCAAGAGGTCAAATTCACCTACACTGTATCATGTACCAAGGAAGTGTATTGAGTATATTACATGACTAACTTACCCTGCTGTGTCATTATAGACTTTGTGAATAAAATGAATAGGTTCCTTACGGTTTCTTTCATATTTCAGACCTTATGTGGCAGAGGTCTCTTTTTTTTAATCTACTCGGAAGAAAAGATTTGGAAAACAGAAGATCGATTTAAGTAAAGAGACTCCTCAATAGTGACAATGACTCTGGTTCTTGGACTGAGACAAAGTACATTTAAAGGCAGGTGATACATGTGAATTATATAACATTGGAGAAAACTTCTGATTTTTGTCTCGCCTCCAATAAATGTCACTGAATGCTATACAAAAACAAAAGAGTGGTTAGGCCAGACTGTCAAGAAATTACAGGCTAAACATAACTGAAGCCAAACTTATTGATATATAAACTATTTAGGACCATATGACAAACCTCTGGAACAAATCAAATAAAAGAAAAAGAAAATTTAGCACCTAAATTGACTATACATTACTGCACTATATACATAATACATTGGGCAGATCAGTAGTGAACTAGGAAGAACCACAGTATAAATATAATCACAAAAAAGATATTCATGGCAACATTAACAAATTATAATAAACATACACAAGAACTTCACCCACTAGAGAGAGGACAGGGAGCCAAGGATCGCTAAGCTGAAAATGTAAAAACTCAGCATAGATCAACTAACACTGAATGCAAGTATTATACACACAGAAACACATGCATGAACTACAGTGCATTTGTTAATATTATTTTTTTTTTTTACACATGTCAGTGAAAAAATATATTTATACACATATTTTGCATACCTCAGTTAAAACAGAATTTGAGGGGGTGGGAGATTTCAAGTTATTATTATTGCACTACCTTATGAGAGGTTTATGTTAATTTCCTTTAAAAAATCTATCAATCAAACATTAATTTCAATTTTAATTTTATCAACAGACACAAAAGAATAAAACAAAAATTCAGGAGTTACAAAGTTTTAAACAATATTTTAGTACAAGTTACACTCAATAATACATCATAACCTCACACTTTACTCACAACAATACAGGGTAATAATAAATAGAACCATACAGGTATAAATTTCATTCAAAACCAAACACTGTATTACAAGTTTATCACGACCACAATTGTATTCTAAATGCATTTCAAAAACAAATTATATCACACCGGAGAAGCAAAAAAGACCAGACTTGGGATATTATGATCTATCAAAGGTCTTAATCATTTGTCTCATCCAAAAGATTTACAGTATTTCCCACTGTACATAAAATTATTGAGCGCACATCCTTTTTGTGAGAGTCAGAATCGAGTTATTACCCATATTTATTGAGAGGAGACATCTCATAAAATACTGGGTATTGTAAATGTGTTCTATTAATCCCACACACACAGATTATAAATATATACATTATACTGTATATATACAGTATACTGTACCTGTATAGACAATGTGAATTATACATTACTCTTGCCTGCAGATCTTTTAAAAACTTTGTCTATAAAACTGTAGACAGTATTAATTCTTTCCTTAATATATATCTTAAGTTTTAGTCTAAGCAAGTAATGACTATTAGCTATAACACAAGCTGATTTACAGTTAGCTGCCCATGACTATAACATATTGACTTCTGCACAATACACCCCCCCACAATATAGTGTATCTTAAATCACTTAACCCCAATAACTGAGTAGATACACCTCCCCATATTTTAAGTAACTTTACCCGATGTATTCCAATAGCTAATACGCTGATACTGTTCCCTATATGCTGTACAGAACCCTAATGGAAACATGTCAATACTCCTCACCAAACTTTTCTCAGACTTGTTGCTACAGCCCAAGTATTTTGAGAATTTAATCTTACTGTACCCAAATGACTGTCGGGAACATAGTATTTCTCCCTTTACATGTTTGACACACTTCTCATGTTCCCATATTCTCACTACATCTATTTACCAGTCATGTATACTATATACAAAATAAAATACAGTAGTAATCCTTTATCTTTCGTGACAAATCTTGGTACACTGTAATGCTATGGATGTTTGCTCAGTCAGCACCGACCTCGACAAAGGAACTTGCAGTTCTCACTAACAAACACAAAGTTACATCGTAGTGTCAGACAAGATTGGGTGAGTATTAGATATACTGTATAGTAAGTGAAGGCAGAATGTTGAGTAATGTAGAGAAATACTGTACTGTTAACTCTGTATGGTATAGTATTTACACTGTTTTAATTACCTGGGATTCTCTTAGTTTGTAAAGAAAAAAAGCTCCCTACAGTGTGCCTCATGCAACAGTAGAAGCATCACAACATTCAGGCCTCAACACTGGTATATATACCTAACACCTCACAGAATTAGGACAATAATTACTTCATCTTCACTAATCTTTCTTACTTGACAGCTACAGTAAAAAAAAAAAATTCTTCTAAATGTTGTCAAGCATAATTACAAGGTTTAAGAATAAAGTCTTCAATCATTACCAGGTTGTCTTACCTAAATAAAAATATCTGTGCTTATCAATATTACTTCTGGGTGTATTAGGGAATCATCAATCACCATCAAACATCATTACCAGTGCTTTACAGCCAATTTTTGTGCTTACAATGTAAAGTAAATGCTGTATTTAACAGAGAATTTGAGACACATCAAAATACTATAATATTATAGTAGATAGTTTTACCACACAACAAAACTCACACATTTATCTGTTCTTATGCTTCACACAATACACTGTACTGTATCTGTAAAAATATTTCCAGCAATAACACTTCAAAAGAATGTTTGATCAACTTGAAGTTATTCTTCAAAATATTTATCATTCTTCCCAGATGTGAATACTGTACTAACATTTGTCGCTAATGGTGTATATACCGGAATACATATTTTAAGGTTTGGAAAGACAAGGTAAATATCAGTTCCTATGAAAGACACATCACTGTGCTCAGAATTGAAACATTTTAACAACAAAAATTTGTTTTGTTCTTATACAATATATACAGAAAAGTGCAATTCCTTTTATCCAAACTCATTGTGACCAATGATGATTCGGGTACCTGGACGTGCCTACAAGAACATGCAATACAGAAATTAATGTTAGGTCAAAATTTGCTTTAGCAATACCTTGACTCACTGGGAAGGGGAAAAAACTGAGGATGAGTTGGCCTGTTAGGTGGCATGTTGCCATTGTTACTTGTAATGAAACTATAAAGTTGTGGAATAATCATTACAATACTTTAATGTGGATTAGAAATAAAGAAAATACAGCATAAAATAAAACTACAAAATAAAAAAATGAAGAGCATGGGACCATGGGTGTGTATGTGAAGTCAACGTATGTGTGGCGGCACGGGGCTGTAAGTGCATCAATGAGTCGCCAGACACTCACCCAGCCCATGCTCCCTCTCCCCAGTGTGACATTACTGCATACACACACGTCTCGGAGTCAGCTGGGTGATTGCCCCGGTGAATTGTGTCGCTTTGCCTGAAGGATGGTTTGAGCATGGAAGGAGCTATTTTTTTTGTACATAAAATATGTGCTATGGTATTTTATGACATGCTGTGTATCATATTTATTGTTTATCATAGAGCCAACACCTTCCATCAACCAAAAAACTCGGCACACTTGTAAACAAAGCAGTTACAGTGCCACTGGTGACAGACAACCAATCGAATGACTTCATTTGCGTTCGAATTGTTGGACTAAATTAGAATTTTAACTGGACAGGACCAAAGGGGACAAAAGTTCTGATAATTGGAAAATTTGAATAGTTGGAATTAGGATAAAGGGAATTGCCTTATACTCATACAACAGTTCAGCAATCACCTATATTACCACTTGCTTTACAGACAAGTTACACTTACTAACAATGAATTTGATCGTGAGAGAGGGAAAGTTTTGTAAAGCCAGTACATGACATGACATGACATGACAAGACATCAAGATAAACTATGGTCTGGAAGTGAATGAGCAAGGAGTGAGTGTGGGTCATCTGATTGGCAAGCAAAGTGACAAGTGACATTGAGTGATACAACTTCTCACTCATTTGTCCTCTTTGAGTATTATTTCTTCCATCACTTTACATAATTCACTTAACATTGTTCTAGTCTACCACACTATTGTATAACATAGACTATCTTTGGGTTCCATAATATAGGTGGACTCACAGGCACAAGGGCACCAACCACACAAAACAAATACCTGTACACTATAAAAAGGACTTTTAAGTTACAAATGAAGAAAGGAAAATCTCAGGTCTTCGTGAACTTTTAGATGATTTTGATGGGTAATTCACAGCAACTCCTGATTAGTAAATGAAGCTTAATTACCTTAACTTCATTAACATTAGCTTGAAATCAACTAATAAAGAAAAAGTTTACAAATTACAGTAAATAATTAAAACCTATTGACTGAGTTACTCATTAACTAGAGTACTGTATATGTAAAAACCAATTAATAATATCATCAACAATATAATTAAAATCACATATAATAACTCAAGGGTATACAATACTTTCAATGTGTGGATTCTTTCAGCCATTCTCATTAAGACCAAAATAGTTTTCATTATAAAAAAAAACATCTTTCACACTGCATCTTTGTTGGTAATAGTTACCTCAACAGGAGTGCCAGCACTGATAGTAGAACTAACATGTACAGTCACCCATATAAGTTCTGCTGCCTCTTTTCATGAACAACGAACCCCAAGATTCAGACTCGTGAATCTGAAGCCTTTATGGACAGAAAAATGCACGTGTCTATCTGTTTCAGGGGTTTGTGGAACAGCAAGAGAGATGACAGGACTTTTGTGGGTGACTGTACTTCAGGTGGTGGTACTGTCCATCATTATCAGAAGGTACAGGGCACATCACTTACTACTGTAAGGTGGATAATGTTTTCAGCAGTAACCCCCTCGCACAGTTGGTTAATCATAATACGTGTACAGTATAACTATTTAGACTTCCTCCGCCACAACTGTGATCGTTAATTTCTTGTTGGGCCATCTGAATGTTGTTGGCAGAGTTACCTGAGGGGAAAAAAAGGAAGTAAATTAAGGAATATTAGAATTTAAAAAAAACTGAGATACATATTTTAAAAATGGAGAAAAAATAACTTTATAAAAAAGATCAGAAAATTAAAAGAAAACATAATTTATCTGATATTTGTCTCCAACACAACATATTAGTAATGTTTTGGATAACTAATATCACCAATATTTAAAACAACGTGGTAAAGGTTGGTGAAACTATGCCTATATAAAGACAGGCATCACGTATAGATACAAATGTTCATGTGTTTAAGGGTAGTATAGGTGTCTAACGTTCATACATAGTCACTAATATGCTCATCATCTCAGAAAGTTACCTCTTCAGGATCAGCAAGGTCAGCCAAGTCTGCCGCCATGAGAGGAAGGAAGTCGTCAGGTATGAAGATCTGGAGCCAGGGGCCACGGCTGGCATAGGGACACGCAGCATCCACAAAAGCACCGGCTACAGCAGGAGGCACCAGAGTTACTGCCCCAATGTCAACAACGGACTTGAAGGTGAAGTGTCGACCGTGTTTTAACCGTCCCCTACAAACAAACACTTGTGCTTAGCATGTGGAAAAAAAAAATATATATATATATATATATATATAATTTCCAAAAGTCATACTGTACACTACAGAGCTATTCTCAGAATCTAAGTACAGGAGATAACAAATCCACAATCAAAAGATTCAAGTGATCCCTAAATGTGGGTGGCCAATTTATGGTTCATGAGGTAGATTTCAAACATTGATTAGTTATCAACATTACATTACACGAAAATTTAATGTTAACACAAATTATTGAACATAATTGACCCTGCAGAAATGACAACTCTGGCATCAAGGAACATCACCATATGTGTTATCCCCCCAAAAAATTCATAGGCTATATCCAAATTTACATCTCTCTTCACTAAGTCACATCTCATTAATCTAGACCTTTGTAAGATATATCCTTCCATCTAGGTGAAAAAGTGAAACTCCTTGGATGAACAGATACGTAGATGGATACATACACAGATCAACTAACATTCAAGACATACTGTGCACTTAATGCTCCTGACTATAATGACCAGAGGATAAAAACAAATGATTCTAAAGACAGACCTGAGAGCAAGAGGCAGTAGCGCCCCAGATTCCAGGTTGATGGTCAGGTGAACAGACTCCAGCCTCCGCGTGACAAATAGTTCTGCCGAGTCTGTGGTGGCTATGTTCCCCTCCGCATCTATCTCACTGCCGACAAAAACAATGAATTACCACAAACCCATATTAGTTATAAGCTAGTCTATAATATCTTTTAATATCTAGACAATCCTAGGAAGACTTATTATATCTTTAAGCAATAAACAGTAATAATATTTGTAAAATGGTTTCAAAGAATTCTGATACACAGGTTCATTTATTCAGGATATAAAAAAAAAAAAGGGAAGGAAGAATGAAAAAGTAATTATAATCAATATTTTCTTTTAAGTGAAGTAACAGTTAGACATCCTCCTTGACCAACAGCTACCAGATATAATTTTATTTACCAATCCATTCATTCCAATAACATAACCACTACAAGATACCTAACGAAATAACTGAGCAACAGACAGGCACACACACACACCTGCCAGGCTTCCCTTCCTGCACACCACGGTTCCCACAGCCCTTGTTAGCACCTTGCATGAGTCCCTTCTGTAGCGTGCTCTTAATCTGTTCACTCTCCACGTGCGTTATACGTGGCGATGCTTCAGGTTCTTGTTCGAGGTCTGTCCTTGGGATCTGTGGGGAGCTTGGGACCTGTCGAAAGGAACGAATAAATCTTTTATTTCTATTCATCATTCACTGGCTAACTCTTCCGTGTAACTTTGGTTTAACATCTGAGTACTATATAGTCAAGTAGTTCAATTCTTATACATTTTTCACGGGTAAAGTTCTGCACGTAATTAGAGGCAAACTTCTGTACCTAAATACTGGCAAACATCTGTATCAAATTATTGGCAAACATCTGTATCTAATTATTGGCAAACACCTGTGTATAATTCACTGGCTATAATATTATCAAATATGTCTTTTCACCAATTATAAGAGTACTATCACTCAAGCAAAATCATCCTTTAAATCCCACATTCCTTGTACATTTCTCAACACTCTTACATCACACTCCTCTTTCACAGTTCCTTTTATTGTACTATGTTCCCCACTAATTTCTCACACCAATCACACAGTTTATCTCTCTCTGCATCTCCCAACTGTCTTGTACTGAGACATGGATACAGCTCTCCCAATTTTTATTTCTGTAAGATGCATTAAGAAACACAACAGCGGGTGACGAAGGTTTATGGAGCAAGAGGAGAGACGAGTGCGTGAGACCTTTGAGATGATAGCAAGAGTGAGGTAAGGACGTGTGATATCCCCCATGTGATATTTGTGTACTATATCTCTTATGTGATGACCTATATATCTACCTGGGTAATGTGCATCTTGTATAACCTGTTTGTGGCATTACTGATAATTTATTTATATTACAGAAGATAACATTAAACCCAGATTAGTTTACCATACTTCCAAGTTCTGCTTCTGCCCAGGCTATTCTGGCAGACACACCAGAAAGATTAGAACCCTCATTCTCTATTCCGTTTTCCACTTCTTCCGCCACCGACGGCTCCAGTTCGTAAATACTCTCTCCTCTACGCATATCCGTCACCATCCATGGACCTCCTGCACTGTAAGATAACAAAGATTGAATAACAACTTGTGACATTACTTTTAGTTGTTTTTAGACAAAGAGGGAAATAATGAGTAAGAAAAAATTTTCAATACAAATTCAACTAACCTGATTTACTTCCTGATTAAATTAAGGTAACTGGACTGGCATGGCGAGATATTTTTTTAACCCTTACGCCCCGGGTGACATTCCGGAACGCGCGCCTATTCCCGTCACTGTTTGAATGCCCATCGCGGGTTAACAGGTTCCAGCATGACTATTTGTCTGTCCCGGCACATGTAGGGGAGCGTGGGTAAGCCCAGGGCGGTCAGTAACCATTCCCTTGTCGTCATGGAGAGTCGCCCCTCGTCTTCCACTCCAATCAAGCGTCACCGCCGTGGGTTGGATGATGGCCAGATGAGGAAAGAACTATTTGATATGAGTGCTGTAGTGTGCAAATCTGGTGAGGAAGGCAGTGATTTATATGCCTAGTGATCCTAATAATAGCATCCAGTTAGACGATGTATTAGAGACAAGTGAGGATGAGCCTGACGCTGGCAGCGAGGCCCAGCCAGGACGGAGTATCCCCGCCATGCACTCACGGCTCACACAAGGGAATTGGATACCTTTGTTTGGTCTGATGGCAGTAATTTTCAGCCTGACATCCCTGATTTCAGATGATCATCAGGTGTAATTACTCCTTATTTTCCTTGTACAGAGGAATCACGTGAGATGGACTATTTTGTACTTTCTTTGATGGTGCAATCATGGACTTACTGTGTACCGAGACAAATAAAGTTTATCAGTACATGTGTGATGCTGACCTAGGCCCTGGCCCCTCGCCATACATGCGTCGATGGAGTGATGTCGGTGTTTCCGAACTGTAGGTGTTTTTTGCATTACTTATAAGTTGATGGCACATGTGAAAAAAACATACGGTACTTCATGAGTATTGGATATCTCTTGATGACATCACAGCAACTCCACTGTTTGCGAAATTCATGTCCAGAGACCGGTTTGCCTCCATGGTACATTATCTGCACTTCATAGATAACAACATTCCTGTAGCTGGTGACAGACTATGGAAAATAAGGACAGTTTTTATGATGCTGAAGGAACATTTTATGAAGTTCTTCAGACCATTTCAGAATGTAGTGGTGGACGAGTCTCTGGTGCTTTTCAGAGGACGTGTTTTTTTTTTTACAATACATTCCCTCCAAACGACATCGCTTTGGGATCAAGTTTTTTGTGCTGTGTGACTGCGAGACTGGGTATGTCTTAGATCTCATTGTAGACATACCCAAGGACGACCCACATGGTTTCTCTGGCGCTGTTGTCAACAAATTTATGAACCGCTACTTTGGAGGGAATCACGTCCTCTACACTGACAATTATTATACCGCTCCTGCCCTGGCCAAGGTCCTACTTCAACATGACACCGGTTCTTGTGGGACTGTACGCAAGAACAGGAAACACTGGCCCGTGTTTACTGGTAAACCTGCACCAAGAGAGATCCAGCTGAAATAATCAAACAAGATGCTTGCAATATGCTGGCATGATAAGAATACTGTGCAGTTGCTGTCAACAGTGCACTAGGGCAAAATGGTGGACAGGGAAAAAGGAACTGGACCACAGGAGAAGTCATGAAAAAACCTGACGCTGTCATGGACTACAATGTCAACATGCGGCTCGTGGACAGGAGTGACATGCAGGTTGGCACAATTGTGTGTGTACGGAAATGTGTCAAATGGTACAAAAAAATGCTCCTACACCTCTTGGACACCACCATCCTGTATGCGTACAATTTGTACCTTGTAAAAACCTGGAAAAATCCCTCTCTCGGGGTTTTTCAGAAGCAAGTTATAACACAAATCCTAGAGAAGTATGGCAACATTGTGTCAGCTGTACCACGATGTGACAGCCAACCAGACCTACCTGACAGCTTCCTTGCATGTGACTGGGTTGTTCGTCACTACCTTGACAACCTCCCAACTCTTCACAGTAGTCATACGGTGCAAAGGCGGTGTTACGTCTGCAAGAACACCACAAATCGCCCAGCTAAGCGTACGGACGTGACGACGTGGTGTAAGGAGTGTGACATTGGTCTTTGTAAACCTTGCTTTATGGAGTACTGTACCACTCTAAGAAAACATTCTAAGACAATGTGGCACATGCTTATAAATAGTGTGAATAGTAGTCTAAGTGTATATGTAAGGTACAAAGTGTCATATTTGTGTAAAAGGTACACAGTTGTGAGCATTCACTCGTCACAACCCACGAGCACTGGCAGACACCTAGCTAGGCGTCAGGGTATCACCACCACCACCTCAGCACCCTACACATGGTCAGAGGAAAGTTTCTTGGTAAGTACCTTCTTTGTTGTTTATTTTTCATTGTTTGTCCATTTTATCATGTTGTATCAAAGTAATATAGCTAAAACTAGTGTTGTTGTATTGTAGTTAGTATTACTAGATGATAATGCTATAATTATGTTAAAAATGTATTTATTTGTGCAATTATTATTCCTATAATTATTTTTATGACATACGTGCTCTCCCAAACACAAAGACAGCCTGGCGACAAACTGAGTGTGTATCGCCGAGCACTTTTTATGAAAATCAATGCAAATAAGATACAGTCTAAATGAATTATTTATAGGAAATAAGTATTATGATCAGTAAATATATGCATTATTGGCCATCTCGGACACAAAGGCAAGCGGAAAAATGACTCCTAAGTGAGTAGTGACCGCGAGCGCCAGGCGTCAAAAATACCTTTCCCCTTATCCCCCTCGTCACTGGGGTGCCACGGAAGTTTCTAGAGGGACAATATATAGTTTTTCTTACGTCTTTTTGATTGTTTTATCATTTATAAAGGTTAAAGTCGATTTTTCTCGTTTTATCCCAAGTGGGGGGTACAGCCGGCAACACCCTAGCCCGGGGCGTAAGGGTTAATCTCTCACTTCATACCTAAATACCATTATGAAGAAAGTCTTACCTTGGCATTCGCTTTATAATGTCGAGGACACCGACACCATTCCAGTGTTGAGCAGCTCTCAGTTCTTCTGTAGTCACTCCAACAATCTGCACAAACTGGACGGAACCATTAGGAGTTGTGACGCTGCCTAGCTGAGGATCCTCACCCATCAACATGTGTTGAACCCGAGATTCACTGTTGTCCAGTGGGCAGTGCCAAGACACATGGTCACCAACACACAATAAGGACTCTGTAAAAATTAAAACTAATTAAAATAAATAATAGTTGAGGGATTTACAACTGTCACTAAACTCTGTCCACAATCCCCACCAAGATTAAGGATAAAATAATGTTCCCCTAACTGCACATACTGTAGTCTCCATTCCTGACTTACCAGACTGAAATACATATTTTGATAAGGCTTGCATAATAGCTGCCGGCCAGGTGGGTGGACTCTTCTCTCCCTCTTCTCTCTTCAAGCGCATGGTCAACTCAAAGCCAAAGCCACTGGGGTTCTCCGGCCCAGTCTGCTCATGAACCCTGCCATCACCATGAAGATCAGAGCAACCGAAGCTAAAACAAAATACATTATTATGAAGACTTTTAACTAATTACCTTTACATACAGTACTGCATATACAGGTATATCTATTACACCAAAATTCAATGTAAAATCAACGCACGCATGCACGCACGCACACACACACACACTACAAAATTAAACAATAACAATTATGCACTAAAGTTTTCACACATATCATTCACTTCCATATAAGTTCTATTAAAAAAGAAAAAAAAAATAGGGGTAGTAATTTTGATATTCCATTTTATTGTTACTCCCTTCATTTGTTTCAGCAACTTTAACCCAACAGGAAGATAAAAGGCAAGAAAAACATAAAATCCTTAAACTGGATAAAAATGTCAATCCAGCATCCACCAACAGCCTCGAGAGATTAATCTACTCAGAAGGATTAATTCGGAAAATGGGAACTAATTCAGTACTATATATGGGGACTAATTTGGTGCTGTATATGAGGACTAATTCAGTACTATATATGGGGACTAATTTGGTGCTGTATATGAGGACTAATTCAGTAGAGGAGGACTAATTCAGTAGAGGAGGACTAATTCCACTACATACCAGTGGGTGTAGTGTGACCAAAAGATGTGACAAAAACAAATTTAAAGAAAACCAATGAACATGGAACTTCCCTGGAGTAGATTCACTGAAACTATCACTCTGGAAATACTGATATCATTTAAAACCCAGGAGTGAACTTTATTCCAACTGGTCAAGACTTTATACGACAAACGAACCCAAGGAGGAATCCTGCCAGACCAGGCTGGTGACACACTCTCCAAGACACCAGTAAACCCACTTCTGAATCCTTACCTACTATCTGCTGAATTAGTTGATTTTAAACACGATTCAGGAAACTCTCTTCACAAGCTTTTAAAACACATCCTTAACATGGTGGTTTACTCAGGATAAGGATCTCCTCTACATGTGCAGTACTGTACTCCCAAGAGTTCAAGGACCCTACTGGAAATAAACATCTGATGGTTTTGTCGGCTACTCTATGTCAAATCGCCTTTACTGTTTACTATTGTTGTATAGTATCTTTTTTTTTTTTTCCACGAGAATCAGCCCACCTGGGCACAGATCAAACGACCCACAACGGGGCCAGGGGGACGAAAAAAAAAAGAACAGAAAGAAATTAAATTTAGAGAAGAAAAAGGTTATACAGTACTGTACTGTGTTAATCTACACCACGAAGATACCGGAAAACCAGCTTTTTAAAGTGAGACAGATTGTATAAGTATGGAAACACAGAAGAAAGCAGAGCATTCCACAGTTTGGCTGTGTGAGGAAAGAAGGATGTACTATGACGGGTTATTCTCGTGTGACCGACATCCACAGAGAAACTGTGGGCACCGCGGGCAAGACGTGTGTTACGAGTCCACGGCCTTGCCGGTGGTACACAGGATGCCAAATCCACCAAACATTGCCCGTTAAAGTACCTGTAAAAGAGAGAGTGAAGCAACATTGCGGCGAAGAGAAAGGGAAGAGAGATTGTCGACTAAAGGAGGAGAGTTAATAAGATGAAATGCCTTTGATTCCACCCTATCTAACAGTTGGACAGAAGAAGAGCCACCCCAGATATGAGAGCAGTACTCCAAGTTAAGATGAATGAATCCCTTATATACTTGAAGCAACTGCTCAGGAGTGAAGTAGCTACGGCATCTGTACAGCATTCCCAACCTTCAGGAGGCAGCTTTAGCTATATTAAGGATGTGTGATTTCCAGGACATATTGGAGGAAATAGTGAGGCCTAACATATTTATTTCAGAATTTGGTAGGATGATAGCATCCTGAAATGTAATTGGTGGAAGATCGTCTAATTTACAAAGTGTAATTGGTAAATATTGAGTTTTATTACTATTGAACTTAACCAAGTTTGTACCTCCCCATTCAGAGATGCTGCACAGATCCGCATTGATAGAAATAATGATATCAGCTCTAGAAACAGATCTAGTTTGAGAGTTAGGAGGAAGGGGAAAATGTGAAGAAGAGTGAAGAGAAGAATCATCAGCGTAAGAATGGATAGAATTAGTTGTAGTGTGAAGTAAATCATTGATAAAAAGAAGGAAGAGAGTAGGTGAAAGAACAGAACCCTGTGGGACACCACTACTGGTAGAGAAAGAGCGAGAGATCGATCCCTCGACAACAACTGCCATGGATCGGTTCTCAAGGAAGCTAGATATTAGAAAACCTGCACTGTCTAGGTACATTGGAAACTGTATACCTTCATGGTCTATGTACACCCTATAGCTACAGTACCTGCATTGTCAATACACATGCCAAACTGTATATACCTGCAGTCTATAATATACATGCCAAACCAGTTGTAAACTTGTATGATGATTTTATTAAATAAATATTATTAGCCATAGCAGCATGAAGAACAGTCTAACACAGAGAGAATTATCACATGAGTTCTTATGGTTGCTGGTCTGGGCGAATCTTGACTCTCACTGGGGTCTTGTACTCAGCAGGGACTTCACCCATAAGCTCATTGACTTGTGACCTCGCTAACCTCACACCCTCGACTAACCTAATCTCACAAGCTAACAACTACAGGCAATACTCCTCAATAAAGTTCAAGTACAGTAATGAATCAGAATGAGGGAGAAAAATAAGATTGATTTACGCAAATGTAAATAAGGAAACAAACTCATAAAAAAAATTAAGATTTATAAAGAAACTTACAAGTGTTCCATACCTGACATAGTGCCAATGTGCAGGAATATTTAATTTAGGGTTCCCTGCATTAGCATACATACTGATGTAGTCGAGAGGGTCAGGTCCACCCAGCCTGAGGAGGAGATATATAGATTAAGCTACAATTCACTATCAGCAGGAATGATCTAATCAACTTAAATGTTACAAAAGAAATAGACAACCATTTTAATCACAGCCGCTGAACAAGCAAATCAATCACTAAAAAAAAAAAGGCAAGAACATACAGGTAGATAAATCTTATGAGTGGCTTCCTTATGCCAGCTGCAGAAAAATATAAATGTTCTCCGATTTCCTTACCTGTTCAATAACTCGGTATGTGAAATCCGTGCCAACAGACACCTTATACAGCAATTAATATTAACCCATTATCTTGTATTAACCTTTGATGCATGTGTTATTCTACAGTTCATTAGCTTAGAATCTAAACAAATGAATAAATATATATTCTTCAAAAACGTGAACGAAGAAATAACATCACGACCCTTGCTTGGGTACTGAGGAAACTTCATCTAACTTCACCTCACCTCACCTCACCTACATTACTTGGATATGTTCATTCGTTAAAAAGTCGATATATATTCCCCCATTTCTATCTTCTTTAAAATACAGTTGAACTCTACCAGGTTATACAGTGGTCACTTTCTTCACAAGAGCACAATTTACAAGACCAACATTTTTGTAACCTATCAGCTAAAATACTTCTGTATCCTGTGAGATAAAGTAATTCCTTCAAGTGTTTTTCTATTCTATATATTTTTTTTTTAATTTACTGTTATGATGGGAAAGGAAGTCAGTTTGAATTATGGTGTCAGTGAAGTGCCTCTCTTACTCTTGAGATATCAACTCTTAAGACTCAACCTGGATTATAATAGCACCTAACTCTAACAGTTTTATACTGTGTGAAGAATGAGAAGTAAATTATTATCTATAGATCAAACAGACACTGGTTATGTTATATATAATTTATAAGACAACTGTATCAACCTAACTTAATTATCCTAGCCTGTGAAAAATATATTACCTGTACAGCATCTTTATGTAAGGGTAGGGTAGGTTACATTCATCTTATCCCATTTAAATCGTATGTTGTACTGTAATGTTGAAGTCACTGGAAGGGTTCTTTTGGTAGTAAGCATTTATTTCTGAACAGATCAATGGTGCCGGGTGGAAGTGCCAGATAGATCTCCATTATTTATAACAAGAACTGACGTAAAACTAGAAATACAAATATCTGTACGGTACAGTATTCCAGTGCTCTTGTTATTATTTCCCATTTTCTTGGGGTAAGAAGGAAATAATCTTCAATGTAAACCACTCAATGATAGATGTTTGACAAACGCAAGTGTTGTACAGTATTACCATTGCGACGACAACACTAGTATAAGACATTGTCACATTCATAATTTTAATGTACAAGTATTTGTAGTTCATGGAGCCACTGTCTCAACTGTGGATAAACAACTCTGAATTTACTTAGGAAGTTAGGAAATAGTTAGTGAGACAAAGCCTGCATTCTGGGCTCTTCAACACACTAACCACAAACTACCCCTGAACCATGATCTCAGCAGGAATTAAACTCAGAGAAACATTACAGAGCCAAAACTAGCAACACTTAAATGGTTCTTTCCTGCTAAAATCAGATACAGACCAAAGACAGTTTTCTAAATTTATCAAAGTGGTGAAGGTAAGGTTGCCATAGTCTATCTGCCATTTCTTGAGTAAATTTGCCAAATTTTTTTGCAGTTCCAACACAGGGTCAACTACTGGTGCACTATTATAAATAATTTACAAACAAAATACTAAATACTAATTGATTACTGGAGGTCTTGTTCTCACTTAACCATATTTACTTACAGAATAATGACCACTGCTTCTTATTGTAGAAACAGGAAGTGGAAATTAGACAAAAATTAACTTGAACTTGCTAACAATCAAGTCAAATAGGCATAGATTTAGCACCAATGAATAATTAAATACTTTAGCCTCAGTACAATTTATCCATTTTTGTACCCAATGTTGATACACTGTTCCGGAAATAACAATCAGTTTAATAATTATGAAATGAGAAAACACCTGATTAATAATAAACCCATGCTTGAATATTTGAGTCCAGTCCAAAAACTATTAAGTATTATTATGGGAAAAAGGTTTACACTTATTACCAATACTTGACAAGAGCAGTGACTTGGAGTGGGTTGAGCTGGTCAGGGTAGATACTGCGACATCTTGCATACAAAGCCTCTAAACCTGCAGGAATTGGTGCAGGTCCTTCCCCTCCTCCTACTACCTGGTCTTGTCCTGGTATCTGTCCCTGAACAAGGCCAGGCCCTGCTCCATGACCTTCTTTCCAGTCCATGACAAGGACGAGTTAAAAACCCTCCTCCACGAAGTCTGTCTCCTGTGTTCTAAACTAAGACCAGAGGTGTCAAGCCAGCCATCACTGCCAGCTACCAGGGAGACCAGCGACCAACCACATCTGCTCACTCACCTCCTGGAGCACATACTGGCCAGCCACCACACCTACTACCTAGATACAGTATATTTATTCTGTAAAATCATAATGTACAGCTAATAGACATATCCAGATAGCAGATAGATAGAGGATAGATGTATAGATAGAATATAGAGAGATGTACAGATAGAAGATAGAGTGTAAGAGGATGCATCTGGGACGTACCAAGGGTAGCTAGGCGTATCACATGTCTCGACGGGATGAAGAAACTGCATTAATTGAGACTGAATGTGAAAAAGGACCTAGGTGTGTATGTTAACAATGAGCTGAAGTTCTCGGGCCATTGCGAGAAGAAGGTAAATCAGGCAACTAAATTGTTAGGTCTTATAAGAAGGTCGTTCAGATATTTAGACCGTCCCCCGTAACAATCTTCAAGAGTGAAGTGCCTCCCCGTCTGGAGTACTGTCACCCCGGCTGGTCCCCGAGATATGCTCAGATGATTGAAAATGTCCAAAGGAGGGCCACCAGACTCGTGCCTGCACTACGGCACCTTAGTTACCCTGAGAGATTGGAGAGCCTGAATTTGCCTAGCTTATACTACAGACGAGCAAGGGGAGACCTAATTGGGGTGTATAAGCATCTCAAAGGGCACTACTCAGTCGATTGACCTTACCTGGGGCTGGTGGACGCTCGCCCCACAAGGGGTCACAGCTCAAGGTTGAAGAAGCCGCAAACCCAGAAAACTGAGAGGTGTAACTTTTTTCGGAGTGAGAGTTGTGAACTCTTGGAACAATCTGCCAGAGAGTGTTGTGACGGCACCGAGTGTGAGCTCTTTCAAGACCAGACTGGAGCAGGTTCAGATACATTCAGGGGCCGGTTCATGCCCAGTACTTGCCAACAGTGAGTGACAGAGACGTGACCGATCGACCAAGCCGATCAGTGGTGAAGAGGATAAAAGATACAGAGGCAGATGTATATAATCAATGAAGGAGTGTAAATAATGACAAACAATAAGTAGATTAAACCAAGGGTATCTGAAGAAAGCCGTCAAAAGCCTAATTTCCTTTACGAGTTTATGTAAATATAAGTGTTAGAAACAGTAAGTATAAAGTACCGCCCATTAATGAGTGATATAACATTTAAAAAAAGATAATGACTAAAGAAAAGAAAGAAGTAATATACATTTGAGGAACGCAATCAGAAGGGAGGCAACTTGACCTTTTATTGGTTCTGCTGATAAATTCTATCAAGATGCTTATCTTTGGCAGCTGAGGTTACACGTGTCTTTCTTAGTACTTTAATACAGTGCTAACTGAGAGACATTAAATTAATGTTACCCAATATTATGAGAGCCTGTTTGAGGTTGACTTTAAGCGACCTGTTCACAGTTTATGTCGCAATATTAGTCGTTACTTTTGGTGGATCAATTTTGCTTCAGAAATATGTTAATCATCTTAACATTTCATTTAACTAAAAAGGTGTTAAACAAACCAGATAAAGCTCCCCAAGAGAAGCGTAGTTCTGTTCCTTCAAAACGATTTACAGAAGGCAAGTTTTCTTTCGAATTAAAAGTGTCAGGTACATCTCCACGCATCTTTATATTTGCCAAAAGAATTTAATTCATTAATTTATAAACTTCAAATACTTCTTACAAGATTGATTTAACAACGTGGAAAAACAACTAGGATAAACTAAATTATAATAAAGTATTTTCATATCGTAAGAAGAGTTATAAGTGATATTGATATTATAATTATATAATATGTTATTAATCTTTCAAGAAGTGCTTATTCTAGGTCAGTAAATACACATGTCATCAAAAATTAAGGGTTAGAGAGCTAGTTCCCTGGAGTAGTCGCTGGACATAGTGTGCTCTCGGGGTGTTCGCTCGCTGCTCCACGCTCCAGGGAACTATGCTGACTTGACACCAATTTAGCCAGAACTATAAACGACTCAATTCTATGGAGAAAAACAAGTGGCTGAAGTTGATAAAAACAAAAGAAAATCGTATTATATTCAAAAATACTTGTTTGAATGTTTATAATAAATGTATTGAACGATTTGAATTAAATATTAACCTTCTAGCACAAATCTACAAGATCTATTCATCTCAAAATAGCTTGGGTCTCATTAACACGTTTTCTTTTATTTTCACATTTACTTGAAACAATAAAATCAAATGTCAGCTCATCAAAAGTTTTGTAAATAAATAAAAACTTAAAAAAATTTAAGTGAAATACTGTATTCAGTAAGTTATCTCAATGAAATCTTATATTACAATTATCTTTAGTTAAATGTGGGTATTCTATATAAGGTCATCATTTAGTGATATACTAATAAAGTTTCGTTCCTTGAATCACCTTCTTCTCACAATGGCCCTAGAACTTCAGTCCAATTGTCAACATACACACACACACACCCAGGTCCTTTTCACATTCGATCTCAGTTAGAGCTGTTTCTTCGTCCCATTAAAGAGTCTAGTCATCCCCAGCATATTTCATCTGAAGATTAGCCACCCCAAATGATTTCACCTGAAGATTAAATAAGCAAACAGAAGAAGACCTCAAGCCTAACCTAACCTTGGTCGCGTGGCCAAGATGTGACCACCTTAAACATAATAACGGACAGGACCATCACAGTTTCCTAAGTCACACATCGCTCGTAACCACTCTGGGGGTCGTCACTTAGGAGTATTCCGCTACAGAATCTTTATCAATCATGCTGCCACTGCTCAAACAAGGCTTCATGAGGAATCAATAAACTTGTAAGGTTGTCTTTTGTTCATTGCATTGATGAATACGAGGAAGAGGATAACACAGGAACACAAAGATAAAGACGTATAGGAAGTGTAAGAAACGGTGATAACGACTGAGAGAAAAGCACATACAAGAAAATATTAATAGGGAGAACATTGAGCGTTTATTGTTTGTTTACTGAGGTAGAGAGGGAGAGAGGGAGGGAGGTAGAGAGAGGGGAAGGTAGACAAGGAAGGAGGGAGGGTGGTAGACAGGGGGGAGGGAGGAGTTGACAGGGAGGCAGGAGAGGTAAGACAGTGAGGGAGGTAGGGAGGAGGGAGGAGGTCGGAGGAAGGGCGGGAGGTAGACAGGGAGGGAGGCAGGGAGAGGTAAGACAGTGAGGGAGGTAGGGGAGGGAGGTAGGGCGGGAGGTAGACAGGAAGGGAGGTAGACAGGGAGGAGGTAGACAGGGAAGGAGGTAGACAGGGAAGGAGGGGGTGGGGGAGGAGGTAGACTGAGGGGAGGTAGATAGGGGGTAGGGAGGTGGGGGCAGTTAAGACAGTGATCATATGAAGATTAGCACCTAAGTCCATTTTACCATAAGATTAAACACCCTAACCTAACCTAACTTGACGCTAAGCTGGCAGGTGAATCATTAGAGAGATCCTCGCTAACAGGGCCAGGTGGCTGATTTTGAGGGGTTTCCAACACTGATAAACCATACGTCCATGCTTACTGCCCTGGTACTTACATACATACATACATACATACAGACATACATACAGACATACATACATACATCATAAGGGTGATAATCTCTGTTCCGGTAATCCTAAAGAAGACCATCACAGCAACTGACTCACCCCCCCCCTCCCCAGAACACAAGAGCGTGTAATCTCGTCAATTACTTCATTGTATTATGTAGAGGAGATGTTGTACGGCCCTGCTGCACGGCCATATAGCTACTGTACGACCCTGCTGCACGGCCATGTAGCTACTGTACGACCCTGCTGCACGGCCATGTAGCTACTGTACGACCCTGCTGCACGGCCATGTAGTTACTGTACGACCCTGCTGCACGGCCATGTAGCTACTGTACGACCCTGCTGCACGGCAATGTAGCCACTGTACGACCCTGCTGCACGGCCATGTAGCCACTGTACGACCCTGCTGCACGGCCATGTAGCTACTGTACGACCATGCTGTACGACCCTATAGTTACTGTACGACCATGCTGTACGGCCCTATAGCTAGGGTGAGTGTCGCGGTTAATAAGGCGAGTGGTAGTGAACGTTACACAAGGTTTTGTTTGGTCCATAATCCCCTTCCTCCTCCTCCCCTTCCTTCGCTATCATCACCTCTTCCTTCTTCTACTCCTCCTCCTCGTCCCCCTCACTTGACCTCTTCTTCCTTCTCCTCCTTTTACCACCTCCTCTCTGTCAAGTCCTCCTCCTGTGTGTGTGTGTGTGTGCAGGTGTGTAGCTGTGTGTGTGTGTGTGTCCATCAGCACCAACTCACTCCTCTTGGCTCTACAACGTTAACAACACTCACCAGCTGAAGCAGAAGTGACACACCCCCACACCCCCACACCACCCCCCAAAAAACAGACAACCAACATAGATATCTAAATAACTATAAAGAAGATACTAACTAAAGAGATGTAAAACTAAAGTGATATTATTGATCCTAGCAGAAGCCGGCAACCATAGCAGCGAGGGACTGGCTAGGGGAGGGTGGGAGGTGGTGCTGGGATCTCGTCTTGCCTAACCCAGGAGCCCTCACGTCTGCTTGGCTCGGAAGGGCACACTCCACTAGCTCACTCCACTAGTTTGTCCTTCTACTTTATGGACCTTTAAAGCTACTCAGTCAAGACTTTACAATAGTTATCAGTGATTAAGGTGTTTGTGTGTGTGTGTGTGTGAAGTGATCTTACCAGAGGTGTGTGTGTGTTGACGTGACAGACGAGCCACCCTACAGCACTGTCTTCTCCTACAGGTAAGGTGATTTATCCAAACAGCTGCTTATAACGATAACCTAACCTAACCTAACTTAACATAACTTAACCTAATCTAACCTAACATAACCAACCCAACTTAGACAATCTTATCTTAACACCTCCCCCCCCGCCCACTCAGGTAGCATATAAGGATGGTGTTGAATCATTAGGTAAAATACGCTCTGGTGTCTAAACCTTTTACGTAAACCAGATATAAAAAACAAGAATAAATATAGTTGTCAATTTCACTCTTACTCAATACACACTTTACAACCGGTTCAAAAAAAAGAGTCACTATGTTAATTTGGTCCCATATTAGCGCTAATAGAGTCGAGGTGTGATTTTTGCGCCATATTGGAAAGTATTGATTTACGAGGTGTTATTAGTCACCCAGTTTATTTCACCTGTTCTCTATGTCACCTTAAAGTTGCCCATTTAATTTTCTTTCATATTTTTGTCTCGAAAATTAATATCTGATCACACCTGTTTTGTCTTTATTAATCTATCGAGTAGGCTCTTACCTGTTACACCTGGTCTAGGTAATCAGGTGCGAGATTCTCTTTCCTTCCCTCCTTCCTTCTCTCTCTCTTTCTCAGGAAGGAAAGAAGGAAGGAATAAAGGAAGGAAGGAAGAAAGAAAGGAATCAGGGAAGGAATAAAGGAGGGAAGGAAGGAAGAAAGAAAGGAATGAGGGAAGGAATAAAGGAGGGAAGGAAGGAAGGAAGAAAGGATTGAGGGAAGGAATAAAGGAGGGAAGGAAGGAAGGAAGGAAGGAAGGATTGAGGGAAGGAATAAAGGAGAGAAGGAAGGAAGGAAGAAGGGATTGAGGGAAGGAATAAAGGAGGGAAGGAAGGAAGAAAGAAAGGAATGAGGGAAGGAAGGCAGGAATGATGACATAAGAAGGGAAGATGTAGTTACGTCCAATTTCTGAATCGTTATTAAAAATCCAGAGAGTTGAGACTATTATTATTATGATAACTAGTCTATTAACTATCTCAGAATACAGGTTTAAAGACCTTAGTTGTCATAGTGAAGTAAATAGACAACTTATGAGTGATGCTTAAAGAAAAACTGAAACAATTTCCACGTTAATGTTTCCTTAATATAACAATTATTATTTTTTAATTTGCAAAAACAAACTTTCTCAAATTCATGACCAACAACTTTCATCTATATTTTAATCCTTAACTCTATTCTTTATTCTCTCAGCTATGACTTGAGCAGCTCTAACTCAGCGTATTGGTTAGGTTAGGTTAGGTTAGGTTAGGTTAGGTTAGGTTAGGTTAGGCCGAATATACGAATCCAATATAGTTGGTATGACCCAGTCTTGTCATGTTCATAATGAGAATAATTACAGCGAGGTTAAGTCATATATACACAGTACTACAAAATAATAAATAATAATGACTAAATTTTAATTAATATAATGAAAAATAACTCGTCTGTTGTTTACCGAGTGTGTTCATCATGTTTTTCTTTTGTTTACAAGAAGCTATTAATTAGATTTCTTTTGTTTTCGAGAAATGTTAATTGTTTTTCTCTTCTCCACAGCCAGACATACACACATCATGGATCACTCAGATGATGGTAAGCCGCACCTAGACAGCCAGCGCACCACATCTTTGTCCTTGGTATCAACACAAAACCAAATTATATACAAAGAGACGAATCAGTGGTCGTACGCCGGGTTAGTTTAGGTTAGGTTTAAGTTAGGAGGTAAAAAATATAATATTCTAGCGGATGAATTTGCGGTGACCCGGGTGCGAACTAATGACCTTCGGGATAAGAGTCTAGCGTTGTATCCACTTAGCCACAAATATTTCAGTAAGTTACTCCTGTCGATTTAGAAGTAATGATACTTTCAACACAATAATTGACAATATATTACTGTATCCATATAAGTAATGTAAACAATGCAAAAATATCCCTGAAATATGATTGTATTTCAGCAACTCACCTAACCAAACTAAACCTGCCCTAACCTAACCAAATCTGACCTAAACTAACCTAAACCTAATCTAGCCTAAACCAACCTAAACCTAATCTAACCTAGCCTGTTTAAGAAGAAAGATCTGAGGAGAACTTAGCGTGTCTCAGTGATGGATGTGCACACTACAGAGCAGAACATTCTACCCCATTGCCAGCAGCTTCACCTTTTATTGGATGAGTCAGCTTAGTGTCGTGGTGTCTGACTGCTGAATGGAGGGCTATGGTTACTTCCCAGACACAGTACAGGTTAGTGTTAGGTTGGGTTATGTTAGCATTAGGTTGGGTTATGTTAGCGTTAGGTTGGGTTAGGTTCGTGTGGATTAGGATATGCTAGCAGGAGTGCGTGCTTGGAGACCTTAGTTGTTGAGGCAGAGAAATACTACCCTGACCAGGCTGACCACACATGCCTGACAGGGTATTGTTTTCGATCCTGTGTGTGTGTGTGTGTGTAAGAATAACTAATGAACAGGTTTGCGATTACCCCCAACTTGTAAGGTTAGGTTAGATTAGGTTAGTTAACATGTGATTAAGTCCACTTGATAAAGTTTTGGTGTAAATCTTACTAAAATTAACCATTGTCAGTTGTGATTCACACATTAACGACGCATACGTGTTCTTAAGGGTTAATTAAAGAAAACGGAGACATGAGATATTTCACGGGTGACTACATTAGTTTACATCAGTGGTCGGGACCACTGGTCCCCCACCCTTCCGTAGGCTCTGGCCCACATTTATCGTCGTAAATATAGTGGAGTACACCAGAAATTTGGATCTACTTTCAAGAAAATAATCTCATATATACTGTACAGGTATTTGAAGTCTTACACATCTAACTGTTACCAGTTGCTGTACATACTTTTTACATTAAACTCTTGGACAGGACGTGTGTATTTACCCCAGTGCGAAGGCTGGCTCTCTCTCTGGGCCCGGTCTGGGGTACACACACACGTCCTGTACACGACAGTTGTATCAAGTTATGACATATTTTCATTAATTTCACTCTTACAAAGAATCCCAAATAATTTAAAATGTTCTAATAAACCCTTGTAGGCTCCATAATTTGGCTCCGGCGCCCGCGAACTACAGGCTGGGGACCATCGATACCACTCTATACGGTAACAGACTCGCTATCCCGATATTTACCCTGCCATGACAACGGTTCGCGGGCAGGGTTGTTGATACTCACACATACTTGAAAACAATAGGGGAATTATTGTTACCCGGATCATTAAAAATTACATTATATCGACACCAATGGAGGGAAAAATAAATTAAATTGAATATTTTCTTTTGTGCCTCGGAGCTCTCACTGACTTGTCAATGTTGGGTGATTTTTCCTATATTTTGCTTTCATCGGTCAGGTGGTTTATTATCGTTTTGTTGTTCAGGGTTTATTTTTGTTTTATGTTGTGTGTTTTGAGTTTGTTGCTGTTTTGATATTGGCCGAAGAGTGACGTGTTGTAGTGTTAGGAGTGACGTGTTGTAGTGTTAGGAGTGACGTGTTGTAGTGTTAGGAGTGACGTGTTGTAGTGTTAGGAGTGACGTGTTGTAGTGTTAGGAGTGACGTGTTGTAGTGTTAGGAGTGACGTGTTGTAGTGTTAGGAGTGACGCATTGTAGTGTTAGGAATGAAGTGTTGTAGTATTAGGATTGACGTGTTGTAGTGTTGACAGTGAAGTGGTAACAGTGAGGATGTGCGACAGTGATGACAGTGACGTGTTATAGTGTCAACAGTGGCAATAGTTACAATGTACTGTTGTGTGTTACAGGTGTGTGTGGCGGCGGGGGAAGCACCTTAACCCAACAAGGTGACCCCAATCATTGTTCGCTACAGGTAAGTACAAACCTATTGACATCTTTTCTATAGTTGGATCACCTAAATATTAGCTCCCCCAGCTTATTTCATCCTAAGATTAACTACCCTAACGCTAACCTAATCTTGTGTTGTGTTGGACTACCTCTTAGTAATAGCTGGTCAGGAGTATGTACAGTATACCCACACGATCTATCAAAGTTGTAGGCTGTAAAACATAAAGTGTGTCGAGGTCTTGGTAGTGTTTGTGTGGCTGCTACACTACACTACTGCTAAGGAGACACAGGTAAACACTACGGTCATTAGAGTATTGTTATTATCAAATATTAAAAACCTAACCTAACCGAATGAAACAAGATCATACCTAACACATGAGAATAAACACAACAATGTATATAGTAAACGAAACAGATACAGACCTTAATGTGTAGATGAGTAGAAGTCAAGTGATCAGTGTTTGTCTTCTGTTTACAAAGGTCAAGAGGTTCCCGTGTGACCCGGTGTACGTCACAGCTACGACTGGCCAGAGATGGGGGTCGGACAACGACTTTAAGTGCCTGGTTGTTTCCTTTTGATACTTGTGTGTGAGAACAGGTGATCGTGTTGGCCACAAACTACAGGAAGTGGTTGTGTGTAACTATGTATATATAGAGATTGCCTAATTAGTTGACCCCCTTATAAAGAAACACTACATTATTAACCCCCTTATTAAGAAACACTACATTATTAACCCCCTTATAACGAAATAGTGCAGTAGTGACCCCTTATAACGAAACACTACATTATTGACCCCCTTATAACGAAACACTACATTATTGACCCCCCTTATAACGAAAGAGTACATTATTGACCCCTCTATAACGAATAGAAACACTACATTATTAACCCCCTTATAACGAAATAGTGCAGTAGTGACCCCTTATAACGAAACACTACATTATTGACCCCCTTATAACGAAACACTACATTATTGACCCCCCTTATAACGAAAGAGTACATTATTGACCCCTCTATAACGAAAGACTAACCTAACCTAACCTAACCCCGTTATAACGAAAAACTACATGTATTGACCCCTTTATAACGATACATGTATTGAGAGGAATAAGGTTAGGTTAGGTTAAGTGAGAACAGCTTTTGCGAGATATTTGACCAATGGAAACGAAGAAAGGATAATAACAAAAATATTGATTACTATCGTTTCATTTCTAAATTCAAACTCACACGAAGGATATCAACTGCAATCAACAATTTAATAAGATGCCATGATTGTTTGAAAGGTGTTTTACGCGATACTGGCCGATTGTGTGAGACCTCTTAACATTAGCATTGTTTTGGTGATGAAGTTCAGTGAAAATACAATACTTGGGACTACCTATTAATTATTCTCTTCACCCAGCTTATTACACTTGATAATTAATCGCCCTAACGTTACCTGTGAAGGGTTAGGTTAGGTTAGTTAAACATCACCTGTAATAACTTGGGATAGCTGATCTTTCAACTAATTATTTTACATCTGCACATTATCCTAATACACTACTAACCTACAAGTGACATAACTTATCTCTAATCACTATTATTACACACAACTTATTCTTATTATCTTATCAGTAACAAAATCCCACTAACATTACACAAAAGTCATTCTTATTATCTTATCAGTAACAAGATCCTACTTCACTCACTTCCTATATCATCACCTCCCCCTCATCCCCCCGTGTCAAGGTATACATCTTTCCATATCACTTCTCTCTTATCTACAAATATCTTACGAATCTTTAAATATATCCTTTTCTTATAATATATTACACACTTTTATCATCTAACTTTCCTTCTTATGTGTAGTGCGAAAGATGTGTCTGATTGTATGTTTTAGTTTGAGTAATAATGTCATTCAGAGCACACAGAGGCCACACTGTTGAGAAAATATAAGGTCACTGAAATAATTAGATGGAATAATCAGAGAAGTCCGTAATGAGAGAGAGAGAGAGAGAGAGAGAGAGAGAGAGAGAGAGAGAGAGAGAGTCATAAATGGGTGACTCAATCTGGTGGTCTTTAATATAATTCTATTCCCAACATTACATAAATATAATTGTAAGTTTGATTACATTAATGTATTATAGTTTTTAAGTCCTAAATACAAACCAACTTAGATCACAAAATCTATTTGCTATGCATGTGTAGATTGATATATAAAATAATGTTTATATATATAGATCAAATATCACGTCACACCACACACGACTACAAAAAACGAAAACAAGATCCTTAAATCAGCATCATATTAGCGAGAAAACACTAGAACGTAACCCTATAAGTGGTCAAAACAAGATCCATAAATCAGCATCACGTTAGCGAGAAAATACTAGAACGTAACCCAATAAGTGGCCAAAACAAGATCCTTAAATCAGCATCACGTTAGCGAGAAAACACTAGAACGTAACCCTATAAGTGGTCAAAACAAGATCCATAAATCAGCATCACGTTAGCGAGAAAACACTAGAACGTAACCCTATAAGTAGCCAAAACAAGATGCTTAAATCAGCATCACGTTAGCGAGAAAACACCAGAACGTAACCCTATAAGTGGCCAAAACAAGATCCATAAATCAGCATCACGTTAGCGAGAAAACACTAGAACGTAACCCTATAAGTAGCCAAAACAAGATCCTTAAATCAGCATCACGTTAGCGAGAAAACACTAGAACGTAACCCTATAAGTGGCCAAAACAAGATCCTCAAATCAGCATCACGTTAGCGAGAAAACACTAGAACGTAACCCTATAAGTGGCCAAAGCAAGATCCTTAAATCAGCATCACGTTAGCGAGAAAACACTAGAACGTAACTCTTTAAGTAGCCAAAACAAGATCCTTAAATCAGCATCACGTTAGCGAGAAAACACTAGAACGTAACTCTTTAAGTAGCCAAAACAAGATCCTTAAATTAGCATCACGAAAACGAAATCACTCTTGTCTGGGCAGGTCTTCTTTCTTAGGGCACCAGTTTCATCCACAGTTGGTACTCTGTATCATCGTAATTATCTTTACCACGGAAGCCTTTGTACACCCCGTCTTTTTGGTGCAAGAGATAGTGGTTTTTGTTGTCCTGGGGTTCATCGGTGGTGCTGCTGTGTGAGGCCAGGGGGGTGGATGAGTAAGGTGTGTCGTCTTCCCATAAGAGTTCCTGAGCTTCAGAATCCCATCTGAGAGCTACCAAGAAGTCGTCAACAGCGTTAACTAATGTGGCTGTTGGGAGATAATATATTAATTCATCACTAAATCATCATTAACATAATTCATCACTAAATCATCATTAACATAATTCATCACTAAATCATCATAAACATAATTCATCACTACCTCATGGTGTAATTCGTCCATAAACACATCACTAACACAAACTGTAAACTATCACTAATACTTATTCCCATAAATGGTAATAGTTGGCAGTAACACCACCTTTCCACCTCGTATTTTTTGTACTCTACAAGTCTACTGAATGTTCACCAAGTACAGAGTTGAAGTGGAAAATATGAACAAGTCCATGAGACTGAAAGGTTTATATTTGTGTGTTAAAAACCGTGAATAATGCGTTTATTATGTAGCCTAGTACAGGTGTGGTTTAGGTAGAGCAGCCAAAACTTGGTGAACAGTCGTTTAGGAACAACTACAATCTAACACTCGGGATATTTCTTGTCGTATTCAAAAAAAAAAAAAAATAAGTGAATAAATTGTGTTTTGGGGGCAAATGCTTCTCTTCTGAGTTACCATACATTCCTGAGAGCAACGGCAAGGCTACCCCAGAATGAAATCAGCTTCCCAAGTCAGGTTAGGTTAGGTTAGGTTGGTAATGAAACACTGATAGAAAGTTAAAGAAAAAGAATGTCTCGAATGATACTGACTTCAAGAATGATTATTATGATCATCCTAGTACCAAGACATGTCCGTACAGTGTGTTCCCGTTGTTACCTGATCATTTTACCTAAGTGGAAGACGAGTTTGATATAATACTTCTGATACAGTTAACATAATCACGTACAACACTTGATCCTCCCGTGAAAGAACATTTGATAAACAGAGAGTAACAATACATACGACTGTCTGAACTGATCTGGTTGAAGACTTGGTCGACTTGTTCTCGTGTCTTGAGTATAGCCAGCTGGTAGCCTTCCCGCCGAGGCCTGAACCAAGAATAATGGTCAACGACAGTCCGGCGAACCTCGTACTTGTACACCTGCCCGGGCTCTGGGTGGAAATGGTAAATAAATGAACAGAGAGAAACAGTGAGGTGTGAGATAAACCTATGTGATGAAGCTGAAGGAATAAGAACGTAGAACTGAAGAAGTGAGTGGAGGGGAAGGAAAAGAATCACGTATAATTAATTAATCATATAATTAACTCATACACTTCCCACATTATCTCAGACATGGTTAAACTAAACAACTGATCACAATATATACAATAATCAACATAATCTGCAAATAAAAGCACGCCATAAGATGCAGCCACCCCCCTCTCTTAAGGCTAGGCAGAAGTACAAACACTTACCAGCGATCTTGGGCACGTCCATACATACAGCTTGACCATCTTCGGAACAAGAATCTCGCGTGAAGGAGGCGATAAAGGGAGCAGCAGGATTAGTTTTATTCACTTTAGGATAGAGGCAGTCACCGGAGTTCCCAGTTATGGGCAGGTCAGCGAGGTGGGCCAAGGGGGTGACTTTAATGGGAATATTGGGTTCATCCCACTCAAGACGCATATTATCGCTGTTGTACTTCAGAGCCAGAAAATTGTCTTCCTTGCTGGGCATCGCCTCCGTCAGCAGCTTCTGGTATTCTGCCTCGGTCTTATACACGGCCAACTCTTGGTTCTGGTTCGAACAATGACCACTGGCGTAATTATAACCCTGCCATACTCCACTGAAGACGAAGTTAGTGTAATTTGGGGGGAAGCCGCCTGTAGTACAGTGGAAAATTTTAACCTGAATGGATTATCATTAAGGAAAGTGTCTTAAATAATTTAATTAACAATAAACAACAAGCATTTTTAAAAGTGTTTATGCTAGAGCAAAAGTGTTGGAATTACTAAAGTGTTTCGTGAAGCCACTCAGTTTTGGTGCTTGACTTTAGTGTTTGTCTTAAAGTGAAAAGATCTGGTGGTAAAAGTAACTTCCAATATGTAAGACTGTTCTTCTGTGTATGTACCGGTGTCTGTGTATGTGTGCGTATATGTATGAATATGTACATTGTACATACATGTATGAGGGTAGCAGAATTTGTTTGAGTTTGCGTGAGTGTATGTGTGTCTGTTGTATGCGTACTAACCTGTAATGTTCATACAGTGTACGCCGTAAGTGTTGAAATGTTCATTCAGGCGTTTGAACCTTTCAATGGTTTTGCCTGCAAGGCTGTAAGAGCTCAGGACGAAGTCTTTGCCATCGAGATCGAACGGGAGAGGCTTTTGTCCCAATTCAGTGGTAGAGAACGGCTCGTCACGGGGTGTCCAAAAGGCATGGCTCCTTTTGTACTGCAGCGCTAGGTGGACATAAGTCCCGCCTTAAGGAGAAAAAAAGTTGCATTACAAATAACAAAAAGTTTATAACACTAGTTATATAAACACAAACTTGTCCGACTCACCGCTAATTTCACGACTGGTGTGTGTGTGTGTGTGTGTGTGTGTGTGTGGGGTGTGCACACATAATACCACTTACTTGTGTCTGGTACTTGTTGAAGAAAGTTAACCAAGTCTTGTTGTGTTCTGAGGACGGCCAATGTTTGTCCTTGTTTCCGACACTTCCATTCAGCATCATCTCTCCCCCCAGCCGGCAACAAGACGGGACCCACAGCTGCCGAGAATGTTTGTTTAGGGCGTGTGAGAACCTGGTCCATGTATGGTCAGTTTATCTCACTTATATACTGTATATTAAAATACATGATAACTATATTGAATTAGAGTTATATTAGAGAAGTTTACGATACTTGGCATAGGACTATGAGTGCACAGTAAACCTGGTGGCCGTGCACAGTACATCTGGTGAAGGTGCACAGTACACCTGATGGCCGTGCACCGTAAACCTGGTGGCCGTGCACAGTACATCTGGTGGCCGTACACAGTACATCTGATGGCCGTGCACCGTAAACCTGGTGGCCGTGCACAGTACATCTGGTGAAGGTGCACAGTACACCTGAGGCCGTGCACCGTAAACCTGGTGGCGTGCACAGTACATCTGGTGGCCAGCACACAGTACATCTGATGGCCGTGCACTGTAAACCTGGTGGCTGCACAGTACACCTGATGGCGTAACGGGCGCGTACATCTGCGGCCGTGCACAGTACACCTGATGGCCGTGCACTGTAAACCTGGTGGCCGTGCACAGTACATCTGGTGGTCGGCACAGTACATCTGATGGCCGTGCACCGTAAACCTGGTGGCCGTGCACAGTACATCTGGTGGCCGTGCACAGTACACTGATGGCCGTGCATCAAACCTGATGGCTGTACAGAGTAAACCCGATGGCCATGCGATAAACCAGGTGACCGTGCACAATACACATGGTGGTCGTGCACAGTACACCTGATGGCCGTGCACATTACACCTGGTGGCTGTACGGTACATCTGATGGCCGGCACAGTAAACCTGGTGGCCATGCACAGTGCATCTGATGGCCGTGCCAGTAAACCAGGTGACCGCACACAGTACACTGGTGTCCGTGCACAGTACACCTAGGCCGTGCACAGTAAACCTGGGCCATGCACGTATATCTGGTGGCCGTACAGTACACCTGATGGCCGTACACAGAACACCTGATGGCCGTGCACAGTAAACCTGGTGGCCAGCACTGTGCAACTGATGGCCGTGCCAGTAAAACCAGGTGACCGTACAGTACATCTGGTGTCCGTGCACAGTACACCTGGTAGACAGTAAACCTGGTGGCCATACACAGCACATCTGATGTCCGTGCACAGTACACCTGATGGCCGTGCACAGTACACCGGTGGCCGCACAGTACACCCACGGCCGCACAGTACACCTGATGGCTGTGCACAGGCACCTGATGGCCGTGCACAGTACACCTGGTGGCCGTGCACAGTACACCTGGTGGCTGCGCACAGTACAACTGATGGCCATGCACAGTACACCTGGTGGCCGTGCACAGTACACCTGGTGGCTGCGCACAGTACAACTGATGGCCGTGCACAGTACACCTGGTGGCCGTGTTACCGTACTTGGGGCGTTGGTAGTTGTTGTAGTCACACTCGACACTGCAAGAAAACAAAACAAAATATATAGCAGACTCGTTTAATACCTGTATCTCGATGCTTGTTTAAACCATCTTGTTTAATACCTGTATCTCGATGTGTGACCTGTTTAATACTGTATCGCGATGTGTGACTCGTTTATCACCTATATCTCGATGTGACTCGTTTAATACCTGTATCTCGATGTGTGACACGTTTAATACCTGTATCTCGATGTGTGACTCGTTTAATACCTGTATCTCGATGTGTGACTCGTTTAATACCTGTATCTCGATGTGTGACCTGTTTAATACCTGTATCTCGATGTGACTCTGTTTAATACCTGTATCTCGATGTGTGACCTGTTTAATACCTGTATCTCGATGTGTGACACGTTTAATACCTGTATCTCGATGTGTGACTGCTTTAATACCCGTATCTCGATGTGACTCGTTTAATACCTGTATCTGATGTGTGACTCTGTTTAATACCTGTATCTCGATGTGACCTGTTGAATACCTGTATCTCGATGTGACTCGTTTAATACCTGTATCTCGATGTGTGACCTGTTTAATACCTGTATCTCGATGTGACTCGTTTATATCTGTATCTCGATGTGTGACCTGGTTTAATACATGCCCTGATGTGTGACTCTGTTTAATACCTGTATCTCGATGTGTGACCTGTTTAATACCTATATCTCGATGTGTGACCTGTTTAATACCAGTATCTCGATGTGTGACCTGTTATACCTGTATCTCGATGTGTGACCTCGTTTACCTGTATCTCGATGTGTGACACGTTTAATACCTGTATCTCGATGTGTGACTCGTTTAATACCTGTATCTCGATGTGTGACTCTGTTTAATATCTGTATCTCGATGTGTGACCTGTTTAATACATGTATCTCGATGTGTGACCTGTTTATAATCTGTATCTCGATGTGTGACTCTGTTTAATACCTATATCTCGATGTGTGACTTGTTTAATACCAGTATCTCGATGTGTGACTCGTTTAATACCTGTATCTCGAGGTGACCTGTTTAATACCTGTATCTCGATGTGTGACACGTTTAATACCTGTATCTCGATGTGTGACTCGTTTAATACCTGTATCTCGATGTGTGACTCGTTTAATACCTGTATCTCGATGTGTGACTCGTTTAATTTCTGTATCTCGATGTGTGACTCGTTTAATACATGTATCTCGATGTGTGACTCGTTTAATACCTGTATCTCGATGTGTGACTCGTTTAATACCTATATCTCGATGTGTGACTCGTTTAATACCAATATCTCGATGTGTGACTCGTTTAATACCTGTATCTCAATGTGTGACTCCTTGTCAAAGTAAGAGAAACAATTGAGACCCTACAATTGTGTGTAAATGAGGCAGAAAGTCAGATCATCAACCTGGGACTTGGTCACATATGGCAGCAGGGTCCACCATTAGACAATACATTATGCTTCCAATATCTTGCCAGGCGGTAGTACCTCCCTGTTTGGTAGCTGCCTCCTACCTACACGGCAGACGACAAGGACTACTCCGGATGATATACAAGTGATTAAGATGATAAACAAAAATTAAGATGATAATTAATTAAAATGACATTCAAACTATTAATAATTTAAAACTTATAATTATATAAATTTTTTTTATTAATTTATATATATACAATAAAAATTCCACATACATTATTTAAACTACACAGAATCTACTGGAATGGTAATAGTAGAGTTTAGTCAATAGGTAAACCCTGTGAGTAATACTGAAATATCATGAATAACCTCTATTGAATATAAATAAGAAATAACAACGAAAAAAAAGTTTACTGTACCTTACATAAAAGTTAGTGGAATAGATTACTTAAAAAAAAATAATATTACATGGAAAGTACACATTATCATGAAGTATAGAAGGATCCTGTGTGTGTGTGTGTGTGTGTGTGTGTGTGTGTGTGTGTGTGTGTGTGTGTGTGTGTGTGTGTGTGTGTGTGTGTGTGTGTGTGTGTGTGTGTGTGTGTGTGTGTGTGTGTGTGTGTGTGTGTGTGTGTGTGTGTGTGTGGCAGGTGTGTGTGTGTGTGTGTGTGTGTGTGTGTGTGTGTGTGTGTGTGTGTGTGTGTGTGTGTGTGTGTGTGTGTGTGTGTGTGTGTGTGTGTGTGTGTGTGTGTGTGTGTGCCAAGAACTCACTGTAGTATATCTTGACAAATGAGTCGTGGTCAGGGCTGTCATTGATAAAGACACTCCCGGGGTTGGCGTCGACAAGGGCTTTACACTGGAAGTTGTCCGGGTCACGGGGAATGCTGATCCCAACACACTGCTCCACCTCCAGACACTTCCTCCTGCAGCGACCTGAGACACAGACAGATAAACAGAAAGACACAGATATAGGGACACATTAACCTAACCTAACCTAACCTAACCCTCTCGGGTATAGCGCTGGGGTGGTTAATCTTCATGTGAAATTAACAAAGGAGAAGAAATATTACGATCTTTACAACATTGTAGCAGCTTCACCTTAAAGTAGATAGATAGATAGATAGATGGAAAATAGGCAAATAGAGTGATTTACAGATGGACAGCAATACAAATTTCTACATTACAGAATTAGATTACACACATTCGCTGGAGGTGGCCAGAATAACACACACACACACACGTGAGGTCCCCCATAACACCATTTGGGAGGGAGTCGCTACACTACGTGTATGTTCACTGTATGTTCCTTTACCTTTCTCTAATGAAGGCTTTTGTTAAACCACCAATGTATGTAATAAGTCATTAATGTCCAATGTATATTTTTAGCTTTCGGGCTGCAAAACTTTTTCAATAAACCGTTAATTATTATTGTTATTATTGTTATTATTATTATTATTATTATTATTATTATTATTATTATTATTATTATTATTATTATTATTATTATTATTATTACACATTCACAGATTACTCGATATACCTGCTTATATATTTACCACAAGATTTTATACCCAATCAGATTTCGTCCACCCGAGTAACTCACTCTTGTCTAAATTAATCAACCAAACAGGCCGAGTGATTGGTCAGGAGTGTTAAAGACAAAAAGCAGCGATGGTACGCGACTTTCACAACAGTATACAAAATATCGCAAATTGTGTTTTATAGCGATCAGAAGGCCACAATTTCTTTCGCAATACAGTACCTTAATTTCAACACTGGAATGCGTACTGTGTTTTTTTTAGGTGGAAGCGCAGGTAATTGATGGTTTTACAGGGAACGTGTGATCAAGTGTCTGAGGCTGTCATTAATCACAGCTTAAAGTGACTTGAACAGTGAACCAGAGAGATAGTTTACTGACATCCCCATTGTGAAAGGTACTAATACAGGTGTAGGTACAGGTACAAGTACACACACAGGTACAGGTACACACACAGGTACAGGTTCACACACAGGTACAGGTACACACACAGGTACAGGTACACACACAGGTACAGGTTCACATACAGGTACAGGTACACAGGTACACAGGTACAGGTACAGGTACAGGTACACAGGTACAGGTACACACACAGGTACAGGTACACACAGGTACAGGTACAGGTACCACACACAGGTACAGGTACAAACACAGGTACAGGACAGGCACACACAGGTACAGACACACACAGGTACAGGTGCACACACAGGTACAGGGCACACAGGTACAGCACACACAGGTACAGGTACAGGTACACACAGGTACAGGTACACACACAGGTGGTACAAACACAGGTACAGGCATACAGGTACACACACAGGTGCAGGTACACACACAGGTACAGGTGCACACCAGGGTACAGGGCACAGGTACAGGTACAGGTGCACACACAGGTGCAGGTGTACACACACACACAGGTACACACATAGGTGCAGGTACACACACAGGTACAGGTACAGGTACACACACACAGTGCAGGTACACACACACAGGTACAGGTGCACACACAGGTGCAAGGCCTGAACACCTGGGTACAGGTACAGGTACACACACACACAGGTGCAAGGTGCACACAGGTGCAGGTGCACGGTACACACAGGTGCAGGTACACACACAGGTGCAAGTGCACGGTACGGGTGCACACAGGTACAGGTGCACACACACAGGTACACACACACAGGTGCAGGTACACACACACAGGTGCAGGTTAACACACACAGGTACAGGTTCACATACAGGTGCAGGTGCAGGTACACACACACAGGTACAGGTGCACACACAGTGCAGGTACTGCACACAGGTGCAGGTGCACATGCAGGTACAGGTGCACACACAGGTGCAGGTACACACACAGTTGGGTGCACGCACAGGTGCAGGTGCACACACAGGTCTGGGTGCAGGTGCACACACAGGTGCAGGTACACACACAGGTACAGGGTAGGTGGGTGCACACACACAGGTACAGGTGCACACACAGGTGCAGGTACACACAGGGTGCACAGGTGCAAGGTGCACACACAGGTGCAGATTGCACACACAGGTACAGGTACAGGTACACACAGGTGCAGGTGCACACACAGGTACAGGTACACACACAGGTACAGGTACAAACACAGGTACAGGCACAGGTACACACACAGGTACAGGTACACACACACAGGCACAGGTACACACAGGCACAGGCACACATACAGGTACAGGTGCAGGTGCACACACAGGTGGGTGCAGGTGCAGGTCTGAGGTGCACACACACAGGTGGGTGCACACACAGGTGCACACACACAGATTGCCACACACACAGGTGCTGGAGTACACACCTGGGTGCAGGTGCACACACAGGTTACAGGTACAGGTACACACACAGGTACAGGGTACACACACAGGTGCAGGTGCACACACAGGTGCACAGGTGCACACACACAGGCAGGTACACACACAGGTGCAGGTGCACACACACAGGTACAGGCATAATAATACACACACACAGGTGCAGGTGGGTGGGTGCAGGTGCAGGTACCTGGGTGCAGGTGCAGGTACAGGTGCAGGTGCACACTGGAGGCAGGTACAGGTGCACACACAGGTACCAGGTGCACACACACAGGTACAGGTACACACACAGGTACAGGTGCAGGTGCACACACCTGGTGCAGGGCTGCACACACAGGTACAGGTGCACACACAGGTGGGTGCACACACACAGATGGTAGGTGCACACACAGGTACAGACACAGGTACACACACACAGGTACAGGTACAGGTACAGGTGGGTGCACATACATACAGGTGCAGGTGCAGGTGCAGGTGCAGGTGGGCCTGGTGCAAGATTTTAGTGCAGGTACACACAGATACAGATGCACACACAGGTGCAGGTGCAGTACAGGTGCTGGGTACACACACAGGTACAGGTACACACACACAAGGTACAGGTGCACACACAGGTACAGGTGCACACACAGGTACAGGTGCACACACAGGTGCAGGTACACACACAGGTGCAGGTGCAGATTGCACACACAGGTGGTGCAGATGCACACACACAGGTGCACACAGGTACAGGTGCAGGTGCACACACACAGGTGCAGGTGCAGGTGCACACACACACAGGTGCTGGAATGCACACACACAGGTACAGGTAGGTACAGATTACACATTATACAGGTTACACACACAGGCACAGGTTGGAGGTACACACACAGGTGCAGGTACACACACACAGACAGGTACACACACAGGTGCACACACAGGTGCACACACACAGGTACAGGTGCACACACAGGTGCAGGTGCACACACAGGTGGCACAGGTGCAGGTACAGGTACACACACACAGGTACAGATACACACACAGGTGTACAGGTACACACACAGGTACAGGTGTGCACACACAGATTACAGTACACACACAGGTACACAGGTACAGGTACACACACAGGTACAGATACACACACAGGTAGATACACACACAGGTACAGGTGCACACACAGGTACACACAGGTACAGATACACACACAAGTACAGGTGTACACAGGTACAGGTACAGGTACACACACAGGTACACAAGTACACAGATACACACACAGGTACAGGTACACACACAGGTACAGGTACACACACAGGTACAGATACACACACAGGTACAGATACACACACAGGTACAGGTACACACACAGGTACAGGTACACACACAGGTACAGATACACACACAAGTACAGGTACACACACAGGTACCCGTACGTAAGTTTCAACACCGTGCCAATAGATTAAAGACATACACAGGTGACCAAGTCGTAAGTATCGAGGTCAGGTATCCTGCTATGGCAACCAGGACTAACACACGCACGCACACACACACCCGGCGAGTTACTCTCCGTGATTGTGAAAGAAACTTTTTGAAATCGTCCCTCAGTCCATGATTCACACACACACACACACCTTGTTATCACGCACTCATGTCTTCTCAGTTGTTTTAATATTCTCTTCGTGTAGTTATTATTTTCCTCTCAGTATCTATTAGCGTGGAATATTTTTTTCTTTTTTTTATTATTATTTTTTTTTTTCATTTTATCTTTTGTAGTTGAAATATTCTCCTTACTTGCTCACGTGCGAAGCTTTCCCACAAGTATGTACAATATTGCTGCTGTAATGATACTCTAACCTAACCTAACCTAACCAAACCTAACCTAACCTAACTCTGATTAAACTCAATACTTACACCTGTTGTTGACATCGTAGACGTCAGTAGTATTGAGGATGGTGTACTCAAGGGTGCTGGCGTATCGGTATTTGGTCTCGTCCAGCTGTCCCGATACTACCTCAGTCTGCCACCACACCACACCTACCACCACACACACCCACCACATCCTCGGCCACATCCTAAAGGGGTAAAGGTTAGGTTTGGTTAGGTTAGGTTAGGTTAGGGTAGGTTATGCAATATAAATAATATATTGACAACATTTTAACCCAATGAAATTATGCATGGCCCCAGTAATTATACCAAAATGTGTATGTATGTATATATGTATGTTGAATGTGAAGATGACTTTAAGTTCGATTTCTCCTAGCTGTTAAGGGTAAAAAATATTACCCAGCACCTGCTAGTAGTTCCCTCACCCCTATACACTAGCTTAAGGTAATCCCTAACACAGGGCTATTAGTTTCCCTCACTCCCATACACTAGCATAAGGTAATCCCTAAAACCGGCTAGTAGTTTCCCTCACTCCCATACACTAGCTTAAGGTAATCCCTAACACCTGCTAGTAGTTTCCCTCACTCCCATACACTAGCTGACCTAGCTTGGAGAAGGACGTGCCCCTAAGTGCTCGTGTTAGCGACCATAGGAAATGGCCGCCGTGGATCGTTGTGTTGTGGGGGAAGAGGGACAGTGTGTGAGGAAAGACGACCCCCTGGCCACTCTGTTAAGTCTGCTGGAGCAGTTGAGGAGAGAGATAGACGTTTTAAAGGGGGAGAACTTAGCCCTCAGGACTAAACACTGCGAAAGAGGAGCAGGCGTGGAGAGTGGTTGTCTCCAAGGGGACTAGGGTCAGACTCAGGAAAGCTGACCAGGGTGTGGAGTGCAGTAACCCCTACCAGGTGTTGGAGGAAGCTGGCGAGGAAGATAAGAGGCAGGACGGTGTGGTGCCAGTAGAGAAAAGGGCAGTTGTTCAGACCCTGCCCAGTGGTAAGGTCGTGGTAGTTGGGGACAGCCAGGTGAGGTTCTTAGATATGACTTTTTGTGCAAGAGATAAGAAACGTAGGACTAGGGTGCGTTTTCCTGGGTCTGGGATAGGGCATGTAGCTGAGAGGATAGATAGGGTTTTGTCAGGGGAGGGTACCAAGCCAGTAGTGTGTCTTGGTGTAGGAGGTAACAACATAGGAAAGGTTAGGAGTGAGGAACTTCTCAATAGGTATAGGGAGGCGCTGGGGAAGGTTAGAGATAGGGGAGGGATCCCGATAGTATGTGGTGTCTTGCCTGGAAGAGGATTTGGCAGTGAATGGTTGTCCAGGGCAATTGGTATAAATTGCCGACTAGAAAAACATTGTGCAAGCACTGGTTGGGCATTCATTGACAACTGGCAACCATTCTATGGCAACGACTGCCTGTACAGTCGTGACGGAGTACACTTGTCTCGCATGGGGGTAAAGACGTTGTCTGCATCCCTGGAGCGTGAAATTGTCACTCCAAGGGGGGGAGGGGGGGTTCGCCAGTAGAGAGAGGTCAGGGTAAGTGGAAGTAAAAAAACAAGCAGGTCCTGGGGAGTAAAATTGGTTACTCAGGACAAAGGATAAAACAGGACTAGGGAAGGGTAGGTTTAAATGTATAGTATAGTATACAAACAGTAGGAGCGTTAGAAATAAAATACATTTGCTGAGAGAGGTTGGATGTACTGAGAATGTAGACGTCATTGCAATCACCGAAACTTGGATGAATCTGGCGAGCAAGAACTTTTTATCAGAGTACCACATAGAAGGGTACAACCTTTTTCACAAGGACAGGGAAGGTAGGAAGGGGAGAGGGGTCGCACTCTTCGTCAGGGATACATTAAAATGTTGTATTAATAATTAAATAAAGGGTGAAATAGGAACCGAGTCTGCATGGGTAGAAACTGCGGAAGGAAGAGAAAACTAATTATGGGAGTGATTTACAGGCCCCCAAGTCTTGGGAAAGAAGCAGCTCAGCCCATATGGCAGGAAATGAGTAGGGCAGCAAAATACAACAACCTGTGCATTATGGGGGATTTCAACTTCAGAAATATTTACTGGGACAACATTGTAGGTGACTATGAATCTGAAGATTTCCTAGACGCAGTACAGGAAAAAATTTTAAGACAACTAATTACAGAACCTACAAGAGGTGACAATATATTAGACCTAGCATTAACAAATAAAGAAAATATTATCAGAGATATCATAATAGGATTATGAGGTCGCCTGGGAACAGTCAGGTCAGTCCCTGGTAGGAACGGGTGAGGTCGCTGGCAACACAACAATTGATCACGACTATAATTTATTCACTAGTATAGCACAAGAACAAAATATACAATACAGAAAAATTAGGTCAAATAAGAATGAGCCAAGGTGGATGACCAAAAAACATAAACATGACATAGGAATAAAGAAAGAAATTTATAAGAAACTAAAGGGAGGGGAGGAGCAGCTCAGAAATAGGTATAATGAACTATCTAGGAATGTTAAGAAAAATGTAAGGAAGGCAAAGAGGGACTACGAAATCAGGATGGCAAGAGAATCCAAGGCGAATCCCAAGGGATTTTTCCAGGTATATAGGACAAAGGTCAAGGACAAAGTGGGACCTTTAAAGTCAGAGAGAAGGGAAGTGATTGATGATAGTGAGAAAATAAGCAAAGCATTAAACAGCTACTTCTTATCAGTTGTCACAGAAGAAATTCACGAGGAAATGCCAGAGGTGGAACTGATATTTAGGGGAAATGAAGAAGAGAAATTAAAGAATATCACTATCAGAAAAGAGGATGTTCTTAAGAGGATAAATAAATTAAATACAAAATCCGTAGGGCCGCATGAAATTTTTGCTCGAGTTTTAAAAGAGTGTAAGGAACTGATTAGCGGACCCCTCGTAAATTTATTTACAAAATCATTAGACACGGGAGTTGTGCCAGACTTGTAAAAACAGGCAAATGCAGTACCCATATTAAAAAAAGGAGACAGAGCATCAGCGTCAAATTACCGGCCGATTAGCTTGACGTCAGAAGTGGGGAAATTTCTTGAATCAATTATAGCAAATAACATCCGATCGCATTTAGAGAAAAACAAATTAATCTACGACTCTCAACATGGATTTACAAAGGGAAAATATTGCCTAACAAATCTGCTGACGTTTTTTAGGAGAGACTTCGAGGTAGCAGATAATGACAAAAATTACGATGTTATTTACTTAGACTTTAGCAAAGCGTTTGACAGAGTACCACATCAGAGGATTCTGAGAAAAGTTTAGGCTCATGGTATCGAGGGGAAAGTTTAAATTGGATAAAATCACGGCTCACCGATAGAACACAGAGGGTCAGCGTAGATAGTTGTGTAACCAGTGGGGTTCCCCAGGGGTCAGTACTGGGCCCACTCATGTTCATAATCTACATAAACGATCTAGATACTGGAATCAGCAGTGACATAAGCAAGTATGCGGATGACACCAAAATAGGGCGGCAGATTAATTCAGGGCAGGATGCAATTGCACTTGAGGATGATTTAAATAAACTGCAGGAGTGGTCAGAAAATGGCAAATTATATTCAACACCAGCAAGTGCAGCGTACTTAATATTGGAAGAACAAATACTGTCAATGTATACAGCCTTAACAACATCAACCGAGAGAAGTCGACTTGTGAAAGAGACTTAAGCGTACTTGTAAGTCCGGACCTACGGCCTAGAAAACAGTGTGTTAATGTTCGAAATAAGGCAAACAGAGTATTGGATTTTATATTTAGAAGTGTAAGTAATAAGAGTGCAGAGGTCATAGTGCAACTATATCTTGCGTTAGTCAGGCCGCACCTCGATTATGCTGCTCAGTTCTGGTGCCCCTATTATAGAATGTATATCAATTCACTGGAGTCGGTGCAGCGAAGAATGACAAAAATGATTCCGGGACTTAGAAACCTTCCATATCAAGATAGATTAAAGAAACTAAACTTGCATTCCCTAAAAAGACGAAGAGTGCGGGGAGATATGATAGAAGTATTTAAGTGGGTGAAAGGAAATAATAAAGGAGATATAGATAAAGTTCTTAAAATATCCGAACAGGATAGGACTCGGAGCAACGGATTTAAGTTGGATAAGTTTAGGTTTAGGAGGGAGATAGGAAGAAATTGGTTCATAAATAGGGTGGTGGACGAGTGGAACAAGCTTAGCAACTTTGTAGTAAGTGCTGGAACGCTGGAAAGTTTCAAAAGGAAGCTGGATAGATTCATGGATGATAGAGTGGTAGTAACTCTCGACAGGAGCTGCCATGCACAGGCCAACCGGCCTATTGCAGACTCCTTATTTTTTTATGTTCTTATGTTCGTAATCCCTAACACCTGCTAATAATTCCCTCATTCCCATGCACTAGCTTAAGGTAATCAGGGAAAAGTGACACTCTTGGCTATTGACTATTAGAGACAATTTAATACAATTTAATAGACCAGAAACACATACAAACACACTCACTTCAACACAAACACACTCACTTCAACACAAGCACACTCTCTTCAATACGAACACACTTATATTGAAACAAGGATTTTGTTAATGTACTTATATAAATACGACACACTCACACAACACAACACACTCACATCAACACACTCATATTATTAACATACTAACAACACAACACACCACACACCACACACACCACACTCACCCCCTACAGTAGTAATGTGTGGAGGCGCAGCAGTAGAGGTGAACACGAGGTCGACGGGTCACACACTACTGCGGCAGCTGTGGGAAAGAGCTGGTCGCAGTCACTGATCGATCCGTACTGTCTTGGCCGAATTATTAACGAGGACCAACACTAAATACCAATGAGTGACTTGCTTACTCTAACGACATCCTTACTCTAATGACCTGCTTACTCTAACGACCTCCTTACTCTAATGACGTATTTACTCTGATGATCTGCTTACTCTAATGGCCTGCTTACTCTAATGACCTGCATACTCTGATGACCTGCTTACTCTAACGACCTGTTTACTCTGATGATCTGCTCACTCTAATGACCTGCTAACTCTAATGACCTGCTTATTCTAATAACCTGGTAACTCTAATGACCTGCCAACTCTAATGACCTGCTTACTCTAACGACCTGCTTACTCTAATGACCTGCTTACTCTAACATTGCCCTCTAATGACCTGCTTACTCTAATGTCCTGCTTACTCTAACGACCTGCTTACTCTAATGACCTGCTTACTCTAATGTCCTGCTTACTCTAACGACCTGCTTACTCTAATGACCTGCTTACTCTAACGACCTGCTTACTCTAATGACCTGCTTACTCTAATGACCTTGTTGATATATTCTTTACCTGTCTTCATTGTATGTACCAATCCACAGTATCTGACAGACAGACAGACAGACAGACAGAAATAACCCCAACTTATTCCTCTTAGACACACAGACACAGGCAGACAGACAGACAGACAGACAGACAGACAGACATACAGACAGACAGAAAAACACTTGCCCCATTGAGACAGACGCCAGGTAGAACAGACGAACGGGCATAGACGGGTGGGCAGAACCAGACGCCGGAGCAGACAGACAGACGAACGCCAGACAGACGAATTAGAGCGAACATAGACAGACGAACCAGACAGACAGACGAACATGAACAGACAGACAGACAGACATAGACAGACAGACAGACAGACATAGACAGACAGACAGACAGACAGACAGACAGACATAGACAGACAGACAGACATAGACAGACAGACAGACAGACAGACAGACATAGACAGACAGACAGACACAGACAAGGAACCAGGAGGAATGATATTAACTCATTTGAAAGACTTACGAGGGAATACTGACTAGTAGGCCCGTGGAGTGTGCGTGACGGGTTCCAATACTCTATCTGGACGGGCAAAAACATATAAGACAGTTCCAATATTTTTTCCGTCAGTTGTAAAATAAGTTGATTCATAATTCTGACTTGACGTATATTAGGTGTGTTCTGGGGGCAGGTTGTCAGGGAAGGTGTGTCTGGGTGGAGGTGTGTCAGGGGGGAGGTTTGTCAGGGAAGGTGTGTCTGGGTGGGGGTGCGTCTGGGTGGGAGGTGTGTCAGGAAGCAGGTTTGTCAGGGGGCAGGTGTGTCTGGGGGAGGTGTGTCAGGGTGGGAGGTGTCAGGAGGCAGGTTTGTCAGGGGGTGTGTCTGGGGGGGAGGTGTCTGGGGGCAGGTGTGTCAGGGGCAGGTGTGTCAGGAAGGCAGGTGTGTCAGGAAGGCAGGTGTGTCAGGGGCAGGTGTGTCAGGGGGTGTGTCAGGAAGGCAGGTGTGTCAGGAAGGCAGGTGTGTCAGGGGCAGGTGTGAGGGGAGGTTTGTCAGGGGGCAGGTGTGTCTGGGTGGGAGGTGTGTCAGGAGGCAGGTTTGTCAGGGCAGGTGTGTCTGGGGGAGGTGTGTCAGGGGGCAGGTGTGTCAGGGAGGCAGGTGTGTCAGGGCAGGTGTATCAGGAAGCAGCCAGCGTCACTTCATCAGAGTCTAACCACAATTCCCTATCCATTACACTATCCACTTCACCTCCCTCTCCCCACAACCACAACCACCACAACTCCTACCACTATCACCCCACTACCACAACCTCCACAACATTCTTTACCTCTCTCTTCTCATCTCCAACCCCCCCCACCACAACTACCACCACCCCACAGCTTCACAACGTCATAATCTCCTCCATGTTGTAGAAGCTGCCCTCATTTTTCCTCCTTCTCCTTCACCTCTTGTTCCTCTTCTTCTTCCTCCTCTGCCTCCTTCTTTTCCTCCCCATTCTTCTTTCTCCTTTTCTTCCTCATCCTTTCCCCCTCTTCTTCTTTTTTTCTCTTCCTCCACATTCTTTTCTTTCTTTCCTTCATCCTTCTCCTCTTCCTCCTCCTTCTCCCCCTCAACACTCGTCACTCGTCACTGGTAATCGGAAGGTAAATTATCAAGTTCTGTTATATAACGGAGAGTGAACGTAACAAGATCAAGTTCTGTTTATATAAGGGAACCTCAAGACAGTGTAGGGGGCTGTGTGGTGAACGGGAGAGACTGGCAACATGACCTGACCACTGACCCACACTCACATGACCCACACTCACATGACCCATAATCACCCCATAGCTCAACCACGCGCCCAATACCCCCTTCTCCGTGCCCACCAACCCCTCACGCCCACGCCCTACCCTCACACCCACGCCCTACCCTCACGCACACGCCCCACCCTCACACCCACGCCTTACCCTCACGCCCACGCCCCACCCTCACGCCCATGCCCTACCCTCACGCCCACGCCCTACCCTCACGCCCACGCCCTACCCCACGCCCACGCCCCACCCTCACACCCACGCCCCACCCTCACGCCCATGCCCCACCCTCACGCCCACGCCCCACCACGCCCACACCCCACCCTCACGCCCATGCCCTACCCTCACGCCCACGCCCACCCTCACGCCCACACCCTACCCTCACGCCCATGCCCCACCACGCCCACGCCCCACCCCATCGGCGCCTCCCCTCACGCCCACGCCCCACCCCTCACACCCACGCCCCACCTCACGCCCATGCCCCTACCCTCACGCCCACGCCCCACCCTCACGCCCACACCCTACCCTCACGCCCATGCCCCTACCCTCACGCCCACGCCCTACCCTCACGCCCACGCCCTACCCTCACACCCACGCCCTACCACGCCCATGCCCCACCCTCACACCCACGCCAGCCCTACCCTCACACCCACGCCCTACCCCTCACGCCCACACCCTACCCCCCTCACGCCCACGCCCCACCCTCACGCCCACACCCTACCTCACGCCCACGCCCTACCCTCACGCCCACGCCCTACCTCACGCCCCACCTCACGCCCAGTGTGTAATTTGTGATTTTATTGAAAACATTATTCACATATAGGCCTCACTGTCTAGAGTGACGAGTGTGCTGGTACAGTACTTTCCCTTCATCTCCGCCCACTTACCAAATATGGAAAGACCGAAACTAGTTATGCTTTTCAGGGCATATCACTCTTGAAAAGTTTTGCTTAAGTTTTGTTCCCAAGGATGGGTAGAGATGGCCAATGGTCAAATCTATTTCTGTACCTATACCACAACCCCTGCCAACACACACACCACACACACACCATAACCACAATACCCCTGCCCGAACCCACTAACCCCTCTCATATTTCCCCTCTCACACGTCACTTAGTCGCCTCCTATTGGTCCTACTGGTTTTGATGAGCTGCTGATTGGTCAGTGAGTCATGCTGACACTTACATAGCAACCAGCAGCCAATCAACTTGACGCATTTGTGGCAGTTGCTCGGAATACCAAAAAAGGAGGAGGAGCTTAAAAACCAGTAAAAATCAACCAATCACCAACAGTAAATTGCCAAGGACGTCAAAAGAGGGGCGGAGTGTAGCACAAACGTACCAATCAGTAACCAATCACCAAAATAAAGGGGCGGACCTTCACCAATACGTCAAAACAACAGCAAAAATAACAACAACCAAACAAAAACAACTACTTAATCTGCAAAAAAAGGAAAAAAAAGAGAATGACAAATAAACACCGGAAGTGAGGATAAAAACACTGACGACGCCTCACTAGGACGTTCTCAAAGTTGTTTTCCGTTCTTTTATTATCAACAACAATGAAAATTAGGAGGAGAGGAAGAGAAAGAGAGAGAATGCCTGAAGGAACGAGGAGAGGAAGAGAAAGAGAGAGAATGCCTGAAGGAACGAACGGTGATAATTACTTGGAGAAGAAGAAGATATTGTGAATTCTGCAGTTAGTATAAAAAGGTGGCAGTGCGAATAGGCCCCAGTGCGAATAGGCCCCAGTGGTAATAGGCCCCAGTGGTAAAGGGCCCCAGTGGTAAAGGCCCCAGTGCGAATAGGCCCCAGTGGTAATAGGGCCCCAGTGGTAATAGGGCCCCAGTGGTAAAGGGCCCCAGTGGTAAGGGACCCCAGTGGTAATAGGCCCCAGTGGTAAAGGTCCCAGTGGTAATAGGCCCCAGTGGTAACAGGTCCCAGTGCGAATAGGCCCCAGTGGTAAGGGGCTCCCAGTGGCTAGGCCCCAGTGGTAATAGGCCCCAGTGGTAATAGGGCCCCAGTGTTAATAATAGTGCCCCAGTGGTAATAGGCCCCAGTGGTAATAGGCCCCAGTGGTAATAGACCCCAGTGGTATGGGCCCCAGTGCTAATAGGCCGTGGGAGGTGAAGGAGTGGGAGAGGGTGAGGAGTGGGAAGGTGAGGAGTGGGAGAGGTGAGGAGTGGGAGAGAGGTGAGGAGGTGGGAGATGAGGGGAGAGGTGGGGAGTGGGAGAGTGAAGGACCACAATTCCCCTCCCCCCAAAATATTGATCGGAAAATATCTCTTCGTCCTCCACTTCACCAGCGCCTCCTCCTTACCACCAGCGCCTCCTACAGTTACTCCACCAGCGCCTCCTACAGTTACTCCACCAGCGCCTCCTACAGTTCTCACTACTCTCCACCTCCACCAGCGCCTCCTACACCTCCACCAGCGCCTCCTACAGTTACTCCACCAGCGCCTCTACAGTTCTCCTGCGCCTCCTAATTACTCACCATCACCTCCTCCACCTCACCAGCGCCTCCTACCGCCTCACTCCACCGCGCCTCCTCCACTTACTCACAACCTCGGTTACTCACAGCACCTCCTGATTCTCCTTCACTTTACTCCTGGCGCCTCCTCAGTTACTCATCCCTCCTCCCTTA